CAGTCTCTCAGATCTCCAGGAATCTGGTTATGCTCGGTAGGAGTCATCCCTCACCCCCACCCATCCTTCCAGCCCATCTCTTGGTTTGGTTTTTACCATCCACTCCTCCCCAGCCTCTGCTGGCCCTCTTCATGTCCCTCTATACCCCTGTCGCCTCTGGCCCCGTCCCCTCTCCCCGCCTCTCCCTGCTTCCCTGCCTGCCTCTCTCTCTGCCCGGCTGCAGTTGGGTGATAATCTCCCTCATTTAGCCTCCCGGCTGCTTCCCCGGCTCATTGCCCAGCTGGTCCCTGGGGCCCGGCCCAGCTTCTTCCCCACCCCCATCCCCAGTCCTGCGCCCAAGCTCCCCATCCCCTCCCTGCTCCCCCCACCCACTCCCAGGGGACCAGCTGCCCCCTGTAGTGAAGAATCAGAGCCAAGTGGGGCTGGACAGGACCTGAGCTGGGGGTGAGCAAACAGGGTGGGGCTGATAGGGACCCTGGGCTGAACAGAAGGGATGGGGGCGTTGCTGCAGGGTCTGGCCGTGAAGCCTCAGCTGGAGTTCCTCTGCCCTCCAATTGTCCCCATTCCACAGATTTGTTCACAGTCCAATTCTCCACCCCCAGGCTTTGTGACAGTGAGGAGGCAGAGGTTAGATGAGGCAGGGCTGGGAATGGGGGCAGAGGAATGAGGAGTAGCAGGGAGGGCAGAATGGTTCTGGCTCAATGAATCTGGGAGGAGGCACAGGGGTTTTATTTGAGCAAAATACCCCAAAGGGAGACCTGGAGACATCCCAGGACTCAACTTCACAGGGTTCCCAGGGGGCTTCTGTTCACAGGACAGGGACCCCCAAGCTAAGCTGTATTTGCCCCTTCCTACAATGTGTAGGCCCCAAGCGCCATCTCTCTGGCCCCATTAATAAACCACATGACCCTCAAACTCCTAGGTAGCATTCTCCAGAGAGTCCCCAGCCTCCCCCTACTCTCAGGAGACACCCCTTCACCACCCTCCCCGACCAGAAACCTGCCTCTGGTGCGGGACCAGGGTATGAGCCAGTGTGGGACAGACGTGGGCGGGAAGGGACAAGGAAGGGGAGGCCGGGCTGGGCCAGGCCTGGCTAGTGAGCGAGCAGCGGTGACAAACGGGCTGTGCGGGGGTGAGGGGCGGGGGGCGGACGGCGGCTGATTTATCTGGGTTATTTATGCCGCGGACGAGGCAGGAGAAGCGGTTAATGAGAGTCCCGGCGAAAGGGGGTGGGGAGGCCTGGACGTGATCTGAGAGGACTGAAGAGGGTTAGCGTCCCACCGCCAGGCCCTGCCCCCACTGTCACCAGTACTTTTTACCCCCCCCCACCCTGTCCTCCGGAGGCCAGGGCAGCACAGCACCTTTCCTGTGTCTTGAACCCACACCCTCCATCCCTATGCGGTTACTCCCACTCAGAGACCTGGGGTCCCCAGGACTGCAGCACAGCTGGTCCAAGATGGGGCGGAGGGCGTTCATCTGAGAAACTGAGGAGGGGCCCAGGCAAGGGAAGGGCAGGAAGAAGAAAAATGACAAATCCTGGCTGCCAGAAACTGACAAAATCTGTGGAGCCTGTCAGGGGGAAGAGGCTAGCTTGGGAGTGGGTGGGCAGCCCACAGCCTCAGAGCTAAGGTGGAGAGCAGGCAAAGGGCACCGGGGTACAGATCTGGTGTCAGCCAGGGGCCCCGATGGGGGCCTGAGTGGCAGAAAGGCTTGGGGGGTGGCACAGGCTGGTCAGAGAGCAGCGAGAGCTGGGAAGGAGGGGAGAAGATCCAGAGAAGGAGGGGGAGAGGGCTTTGCAGCAGTGAAAGCTGCTGGGAGCAGATAAGGCAGCACAGCAGCAGGAGGGATTAAAGCTCCGAGGGGCATGGGGGGGCGGCGTGGGAGGGGGTGGGGGGCAGGGAGGAGAGGCTGAGGGCAAGACACCAGGGCCAAGGAGATGAGTAGGAAAATGCGGGCTTCGAGGCAGCAGGATTTAATCAGGGGCCACAAGGTGGCCATTAACTGGGAAAGAAGCGACTCTTGATCGTCTGTTCTGGGGAGGAAGACTTTTGTACCATTGATGGAGTCCCCACACCCTGCCCACCTGCCCACATTGGGACAGCAGAGTTAAACGGAGGGATGCACTGCTGAGGTTAGGGTGCTGGAGGATTAAGGGGTAGGGTGGGGATGAGGGGATGAGGCAGAGGTGGCCCTGGGAGCCCTGGAGCCAAGGCTTGGAGACTGAGGGCACACAGCGCCTCCTTGAGGCGGCTGATGGAACACCAGAGAGCCACAGGGAACAATTAAGAATGCCCAGTCCACTGCCCTAGCATGGAGACCACATCACACCCAGACTGTGGCAAGGACCAGAGTTTCAGAAGGGCTTCTTTGTGGGGAGAGATAGAGGCTCAGAAGAAGGGCGGGTAGCTTCTCAGGGTGAGCCTCGAAGTCCCTTACAACCCTCCTACCCTCCTAGAAGGGTGTTTGGGGCAGGTGAGACCCCTGCTCCCTCCAGACCAAAGTCCAGGGCAGTTCAGAGGTGGTCTGGGTGGTGGAAGGGAGCCTGGGGGAAGAGGAGGGGCTGGGGGAGGGGAGCGGGGGTGGCAGGCGGGGCTGGGTAATTGCATGTTTGCCAGTTCTCCGTCTCTGCACACCGAGGGAGCGCGTGTTGGTGGGTGTAGCTTCGCTTTGAGGAGTGTGTGTCTGTTGGCAGAGGTGTCGGTATGTCTGTTTCGGGGGTCTGGGCTCTTCTTGGCCCCCGGCTCCCCTTTGTGTTTTGGGGAGCAAGGCTCTGGGCATACCCAGCTGTGCTCAGCGCTGATGCGGCAGATGTGGCGGGGCCCCAGCTGTGCCTGCTTCCCGGAGAGGGGGAGGGGGCCGCAATCTGCTCCCCCGATAATGGCTGCTAAGTGCCAGAGGGAGGGGATCGAGATGGAGGTGGGACAGGGTCCCTGGACAGCCCACCGAAGGGACAGGAGGGAGATGAAGGCACTGCTGCCCTGCCCCACCCCACCCCGCCCAACCTTCCCTGTCTGTTCTTGGATCATCCTCTCCCCCTCAGCTGGCTCCTGAAGCCCGTCCAAATTTCTCTCCACACTCAGTCCCTGTCCCCAGCTCTCTTCCCCTGTCGCCCCATCCAGCTTGGTGCCAGGGACCCACCCCCTTCCCCGGCCCCCAGCTTGCTCCCCCTCGCTGATTTTACAGAATAATCTTTTTATGGAAACCGAAAAGCGCTAATGGCAGGAGCGCACCCCTCCCCCGCATCCCTCCCCCTGTTCATCCCCCACTTCCCACCCCAGTTCCCTTGTTTCTCCCTTCTCGAACCCTCTCAGGGCCAGCACCCTTATACCCCTACAGGGCCATTGAAGGTTGGGTGCAGGGTCAAGAGGCAGTGGACAAGGGGGTTCCTTGTTCCCCCTACTCACATCTTGGGCCCTGAGTGGCCCCCTCATAGATGCAAGAGGCTTTAGGCCTTTCCCACCACAGAAAAGGGCTGCAGATGGGGCATTACAGCCTCTCCCCTTAGACACCCCCCTGCATACACTCTCTTGGCCTGGGGGGAGGCAGACCTCAGCCTCACTAGCTACCCCCCTTTCAAACACGGACCTGTTCCCCTTCTAGTACCTCTACCCACCATGTCCCCACCCCCACTGGGTCTAGGAGGGGGGTCCCGGGGGCCAGGGCCTGACACAGACTTATTGGATTTCACGGTGTTTTGCTGAGAAAATAATTAAATTATCATATTTATGATGGAGCTGCCATGGCCTCTGCCAACCGCTCGGAACAGAAGGGTCAGGACAGGGCGGGGGTGGAGAGGGAAGGGACCCAGAGCCTGGCCCTGCGGCCCAGCCCTCTCCCAGCCCCTTCCTCAGGGAGATGACCCCAGGCACAGAGTGTGCCTCTGCAGTTCCCTGCAGGCAGAGATGATAGAAGGTCTGGGTTGGAAGCAGGGACCAAAGGAAGCAGGGAAGGGGGCTGAGTGAGGCAGGTTAAGGGTCAGGCCTGCTAAACCCAGTCATTTCCCAGGGCTCTCACACAGTCTGCAGAGCCTGAAGGGGTTGGGAGGTCACCTCAGCCTAGCTCCTGTGCATCTCTGTCATTGCCCACCTATGGAGCTATGAAATCCTAGGCTGTCCCTGATGCTGGTGCTGATAACAAGGCCCCAGCACCCTGCCACCCCAGCCTGCTGCCAGGACCCCCTCCTCCCTCCCACCCACACCCTGCCCCCCCATTCTCTTCGGGTAATTAGATTCCTCTCAATTAGCAGATTACGATCATTACCAGCTCATCTGGCAACTAAGCTCCGAACCCACAGCTGGGGAAAGGGGGGCACTGAGAGGGGCACTTGGGGGTCATGGGCAAACATGAGAGATGGTAGGGAGAGCAGGACTGAGACCTGCGAAGGGCAGGACCAGGCTGATGGGAAGTGGCCAGAACTCCTCCCAGAAAGGACACCTCCCCCTGCACTTCCAGAGAGAGCAGCATTGGCTCAGGCCTGCCCTGCCTGCCAGGGGAGTAGGAGACAGAGATACTGAGCTCCAGGCAGGGGCAAACCTTCCTACACCTCGCCAAAAGCCAGGCTGGGAGCAGATGGGGCTGGCAAAGCGGAAAAACAGGCCAGCACCGGGGCTGGGCAGGAGCTGAGGAGAGCGGGCTGCCAGGGGTGATCAGCCTCCAGGGCTGTGGCTCCCAGCTCTGGGGCCCAGCTGAAAGGCTCACAACCCCCCACCTCTGAATCTTACATTGGGAGTCCAGGCCAGGCCCAGTGAGGAGAAAGAGGCAGGAAGGTGGGCAAGCAGGGGCAAAGGTGGGGGCCAGCGGGCAGGGGAGCCTGGAGGGCCTTCCTCCAGAGCAGTGCAAAGAGGCTGAGGCAGTGGGAGGGGGAGATTTACCAGGGCTCCAGATTCATTATTCATGAGCCCGCAGCAACGACTCCAATTTAAATGCTAATGTGGGGGGGCCTGACTCAGCTGCCCACCTCCTGCCCTCACCCCCAGCCCAGGCACAAGTGGAGTCCGTGCTGGCTTCAAGGTTCACTGGGGTTTATTTGGGAGTGGGGAGGGAGACCAAGCCACCCACACTGCCCCAGCAGGTGAAGATCCTGACAGGCTTCATCTGGTCCTTTCTGGATAGGAACTGGCCAAGCAGGCAGCAGCCTCCAGGAGAGCAGGAAGGAGTTGGGAGCCCCTCTGCAGCCCCTGTCAGAGGATGATCTGGTTGGTGAAACTGCGGCTCAATTCCTTGTGTGGCAGAACAATCGAGTTCAGGATAAGCACCTCGGCAGGGATCCGGACGCGGCAGCCTGCAGTAGAGATGAGGGCACCAAGGGGAGGTCATGGGAGAAGAGAAAGGGGCAGGTAGCTAGGGACCCAAGGCCATCTGGGAGGGATCCCTCCTTGCCCATCTGTGGTCCTGGCCTAATGCCCCCAGAAATTCACATAGGGCCTGGCACACAGCAGGCACTTGGTAAGTGTCTGCTAAAGGAAGCGTGCACGCATGTGCACACACGCACACACGCATGCACGCATGCACGCACACACAGGAACAAATATTCCCACAGACCTCTGGCATCATCTCTGGTGCTTCTCAAAGCCCCAGGGCCCAGTAAGTCATACCCAGGATGGTGATAGCAGGCAGCAGCTTGCCATCTTTGAAGAGGCTCTCGCTGTCCATGCGGGCTCGAGGGTCATTGGGATTGGGGTCATTGGGGGTCCCCTCCACACGAGCCCAGCGTCCGACAGTGCTCCCCCAGCCCACGATACTGTGCAGAATACATGTGTGCTCCTGCCAAACAGGATGGTGCGAGGTGAATGGGCTGGGAGGCAGGAACGGGAGGGTGTGAGAGGGTCCAGAGGCAGAGCCTGTGTGGCTCACCCTTCTCTACCTTGGGAGGCAAGCTGGGTCCACCCCTCAGCCTCCCAGGCACCACACACTGCTGTGGGACCTGGTACCTACCTGCAGCGTGGCTCCATGGAGGACAATGCTCTCTCGGAGCCGCACACCTTCACCCACAGTCACCCCCTTCCCGATGGAGACATTGGGGCCTAGCTGTGGAGAGAAGCACATACCATGGGTCCTGAAAGGACCTACAGGTGCCCAGGTCCAATCCCATCCTAGAACACAGAAGGTGGAAGCAACCTGCGCAAGGCCCACACTATGGGCTCGGCAGAGACCAGCACCCTGAGCTCTGGCATTCTCTGCACCCCACTCCTGAACCCAAACGGATAGCACCTTCCTCTCTCTGGGGCTGGGCCCACCACTCACCACAGCTGACGGGGCCACTTTAGCAGTGGGGTGGATGTAAACGTTTCCTAGAAGCAGAAGAGAGGACCTGGGTCCAAATACCCCAAACCTTATCTAGATGGGAAGGGGCAGGGATTGAGACTCACCTCTGGACCTGAGGTTAGGAGTGGAAGTAATGGGGGACGGGGATGGGCAAAGGTTAACAACTGGGGCTGGGTGGGTACCTCGGATTCTTGGACCCCCTGATGTGTGCTTGGCCAGACGTTCTGGGTGAGTGATCTGGTATCGGCCCAGATAGAGGCGAGAGGCATAGAGAGCTGAGCTAGACGCCACAGAGGGGAGAAGCTCAGGGGCCAGCAGGGTCACAACCCCAAAGTCTCAACACCCCCTACCACCTGGTTCCCCAACCTCCAGATCTGAGGCACAGACCCCCCTGCTTAGCATACCCAGCAGACTTGATCTGACTCCAGATGCCATCAGTGAGGTGCACATAGATCTGGCCTTGCCCAGCCAGGGCTGAGAACACATCCTGCTCCAGGCGGATGGTCCCTGCCCCAGGCCATGAACCTGGAGAATCCTCCCTGGCAGAGAAAGGATGTTGACATCAGGTCCCCAGCTGAGCCCAGAGGTGAGCCAATGTGTCTCTCCCAGAAGAAAATGGAGAGATTCCCATCACCTTTCCAAGCCCCTCTCCAGGTCCAGTGGGGTTCTCTCCAAAGTGTGCTCACATTCAGGCTGCTTTCTCACCCGCCCTGCATTGGCTGCTCTTGCAGGGGAGCCCCTGGCATAGACCCGCTTCCTATCTCTACCCCGCGTCCAGAAGGAATCCCCCAATTCTCACATCCTCCTCCCCGCGCACCCCTCCACTCACCCTCCCCTCACAGGATGGCATGAAACACAGGCAGACTCACCCCAGAGCAAGGCAGCTGGTGAGGGCAGAGACAGTCACAGAGAGAGGGAAAAAGAGATGGTAGATGCCAGCTCAGAGACAGAGAGGCCAGGAGAGATGGAGAGAAGCAGAGACACAGTGGGGTGAGAAATAGCTATGAGCAAATGATGTGAGATGGGGAGGTGGGCAGGGAGGAGAGAGTAAAGACAGGGAATCCTAGAAGGGAACAGCTTTTAGGCCAAGAAGGGGTACCCTGGGATTGGTAGGAAGGGCTCTGGGATACTACATCCCAAGGAGAGTCAGCCTGAGAATATGCGTGCATGCATGTGTGTGCTTATGTGCTTATGTGTGCACCTGCGTCTGTACTAGAGCACACCTGGGCCCAAGTGTGTTGCCGTTTGCTCTGAAAGGTGTCTCTGGGTCACTCAGGGCTTGAGAGAAATGGACCAGAAGGGGAGTGGGCAGGCAGTGACGGAGGAGGAACTGGGACGGATAAGGAAGAGGGACAGAATGAGGTTAGAAGGGGAGGGACATGGAGGGAGGTTTGGCTGGAGATGACAAGTAGGAAAGGGAGAAGGGAAGAAGAGGGTGAGCAGGTTGAGATGGAGCCTGAGAGCCTGGCATGTGCCAGGGGTCTGTGACTGGGGTACTTGGGGTTACAGGGCGATGGGGCCTCACAGTTGCCCATCCTGCTGATTACGCTGGAAGACGTCCCGAAGAGGTTTCAGGGCTTCCGGAGAAAAGAGATAGATGCCGCAGTTGATGATGTCACTAATAAATGTGCTGGGTTTCTCCACATAGTGCAGGACCTAAGGACAGTGAGGGCTGGGTTTGGTAGTAGAGAGGACCACTGCCCAGCATGATCCCCTAAGACCCTCTCATTTGCAGGCCCTCCCTGCTGCTGCCAGGGTGGACTTGCTAACATGCAGCATGCATCTTGCTCTCACCTGACTTTACACCCTGAGATGACTGTCCTTCACCTTCACCTTCAAGATAAATCTGAACTGCAGGCCTTTCTCTCCTCCACCCTCCCCACCTCCTAGCACTCTGGGGCCAAAGCCCCAAGCCATTGCATGCCTGCCCTGGGATGTTCTTTCCATCTCTTCCTCTGAAAAAAACACCTTCAGAGACGCAGTTGACATTGTCAGTCCCTCCGTGAGTCCTCTCTTGCCAGTCCCAAAGTTAGTTATTCAGGCCTAGGCCCCAACCACACCTCACTGGTGGCACTGTGCCATTTCCAAAGGTTGTCTTGGATTCTGTCTTTCCCACTAGTCTGAGGGTTCTAGAGAGGCAGAGACTGTGCCTTTTGGCTCTGTTTCTCTCATATCTAGCTGGTGCCTGGTGCAAAACGAGGTATGCATGCCATGAGTGTGTGTTCATATATATGTTTTACATTAAAACAAGGTCAAGGGCTGGGGTTGTGGCTCAGTGGTAGAGTGCTTGCCTAGCATGTGTGAAGCACTGGGTTGGATTCTCAGCACCATATTCAAATAAAATCAATGCCCACTGACAACTAAAAAAATAAAAAATAAGGTGAAATAAAAGGGCTGTTGAAAGTGAGGCTCAGGGCCGGGAGATTCACAAACAGGGCCACAGCCCTCTGCCTAGCTGACTACACTCTCACCTCCTTAGAGGAGGAGCCACCACAATGTTCCCTGCCTCTGCCTTTGCACATACCATTCCCTGTCTGCAATGACTTCTTGTTTCTTCCTTTATCTGGACAAATCTAACTCAGTGTACCTTGCTTCCCCCAGGAAGCCCTCCCCACCTCCCACCCAGGCAAGGCTCAGTAGGGCCCCTTTTTGTGCTCCATAGCACCCTGTACATACACTGATTTCAGCACACACCCATGGGAAATAACTGTTACCCCTTCCCCCTAGCCAGCCTCTCCAAAAGCGATACAAGATGATTAATCAAGGGACTGCCCCTTGTTTGAAAAGACTGGGGCCTCCCCATAGTGTTCTACTGTCCTCTGAGTCACGAGTAGATGCCCACCCAGCCCCCTCTCTGCTCTCACCTCATGTGTCTGTGGATTCTCAACGATGCAGCCATAGTTGAGGGACTGTGTTCTGTTAGCCTGAAAGATAAACACATCCGAGATAGTGACCTGCTGCTTCAGGGGGGCCAGGGCTGTTTTCTTATTCTTTCTTTCCTTCACCTACAGCACCTGGCACGCAGCTCTACCACTGACAGGCCTTCAGCAGGGTGAGTGCTGACAGCTCCCCCCACCTCCCTGCTTCTGAGCAGCCAAAGGGCTCAGGGTCACCAGTGATACCTTCGTTACAGCTGGGACAAGTATACCTCCCCCCCAACACACATTCCTATTCCAACTGTTGGGGCTGCCCCTGCTTCCCCAACATCCTCTGGCCCTACCAGCTCCCTTACCGTAGTGCCAAGGAGTAAGAAAGGGTGGCGCTCGCATCTGTGAGCATCCAACATAGCACTCAAGGGGAAGTCAGAGCAGACGTCAGCATTGAGCACGAAGAATGCTTCAGGGCCTCCAGCTAGGATCTGGTCCCGAAAATGGTAGAGACCACCTCCTGTGCCCAGGGGGGCAAATTCCTGAAGGTACCTATTCCCAGGGACCCCAAAGCCAGCTCAGTGATATCTGATAAGACACACAGCATGAGCCAGGAAAGCTAATCTCCTAACCCCAGCCCCTGGGAGTACTCCTACCCACAGAGAAACTCCATATATCTAGGGAGTCAGAGGTGTCCAAATAAGAATCCTTCTAGCATGTGATGCTGAACTCTGGCAAATACTAACTCAACCCACTCTTATGAACTCAGAGGCCTAGAATATCCCCTTCTGCATGTACAAACACCTGATTGGAAGGTTGAACTCCTGCTGAGCAGCTTCTAGGAACTGGGTAAGGGCCTCATCAGGCTGGTAGAAGCCAATAAGCAGAATCTCCTGCATTCCAGGGACCTGAGGATAAGGCAAGAGGATGGGAGAGAAAATAGCTAATAGGAGGGAATGCTGGGAAAATCCCTGGTGCTGGCCTAGAAGTCCAGAGACCAGTTTCAGCTGGGAGCCCACTCTTGTCTTCTCCCCTGCACAATGAGGGAGTTAGAGGAAATCTCAGTTCAGATCTCTCCTTTACATTCCCTCACACACCTGAAATGGACTCATTCTTGGAAAGATTTTGCCTGCCAAGCTAATGCAAAGGATAATCCACTCACCCCACCGCCCTTTTTTCTTAACTGTCAATCTAAACTTGACATCAGCATGAGTAAGGGTACCATTAATCAAGGATCAGCATTGAACTAGGCACCTTATAGCTTTGCCATCCCACAACAAAGTCGAGTCTCTATTTTACAGATAAGGAAACTAAAGCTCAGACAGGGTACCAAGCTTGATTGCTCCAGGTCAGTCTCACAGCAGAGCCAGATTTCACCCAAAACCTCGCCTATATCAATACTAAAATAAAGAAATGAGCTCTGTGGTGAGCAAGGCAATGAATTCTGTGCTTTGTCTTCATTAAGGATCCCCATGTGGGTTGGGGATATAGCTCAGTTGGTAGATGCTTCCCTCGCTCATGCACAGGCCCTGGGTTCAATTCCCAGTACCACAAAAAAAAAAAAAAAAAAAAGGATCTCCATGCTATGACTTTAAATTGTCCTTAAGATCCCTGTCTGATCTCATATTCCAAACTTCAAAAATAGGTGTGAAATCTGAGCAGGAAGAGACCAGATGAGAGACTAGAATAGGGAAAAACAGCGCAGCTACGCTGTACAACTTGAGACTTAAGGGGACACCTTTCACATTTTTCCCCAGTAGGAAAAAACTATTGTTGGGAAAGGGGGAAATATAGCATGAAGGAGATCAGCAGGAAGTTTAGTGGGAGAGGGGAGCCTAGATTACCTGGGCACAGGCTTCAATATGGTGTTGGATCATAGGGACCCCAGCCACAGGAAACAATGGTTTGGGCACCTCAAAAGACAAAGGCCTGAAGCGAGTTCCTGGGAGAGGAGAGAGAACATTTCAGCCTCCTGCCCCCCTCTGCCCACTAACCACTGGAGCCCAACACCCCCCTCCCCACAGTCCCCTGGCTCCTCACCCTTTTGAGGGCCTCCAATCAGGATGACAGCTTTCAGCATGATGGTGAGTGCTACCTAAATCTCAAACCCCAACAGACAAATCAGGTCCCTTTCTCACACCCCAAGTAAACCCAAAACCTTCAATAGCAACACTTAGCTCCCTCCCAAGATGTAAATCAAAGTTCAGTGTAGTCCATTCCTGGATACAACATCTCATAAATGCCACCTAGATTCCAGGTGGCCTTGAAACCTCACAATGATTCCTCACAAATTCTGAAATCCATACCTCACAACCTTATCTCTAAAAGATTTCCCTTTGGCTATAAACAAAATTGTGCAAACTCAGAAACTCAGCCGATTTCCTTCTCGAACCCAAATTTTAAAAAAACTGAAAACTCCATCCCAGTGATTCTCAAATTGTTGTATTCAGCCCTAAATCCCAACAGTGCACCGTGAATATTGAGCCACAAACCTTAAGTGGGCCTCGGATATTTAACTTCAATCCTAAGCATGAATTCCAAGTATTGATCCAACACTGACCACATTTGACAAACCCCCAATCCAAGCAAAAAACCCCTAGATGCTGAACATGAATCCTAAAACTAACCTCTATATGCTGAATCCCAAATCAGCATCCCAAACCTGAACCTACTAGCCCCCGGAGTCCCAATACTGACGACTGGTGCCGGATCTCCGGATTTGGAGGAATGACTGTTGCCCTCTGAACCCCACAACAGACTATGTCCAATAACCCTAGCTTCTTGTAGCTAGGAGTTGTAAGACCAACATAGGCGCCGACCGCGGAGGGCGCGACAGGACCTCCAAGCTGGCGCTCGGCCTAGTGCCCAGTCCCAACCCCTCGCACCACCCCTTCACCGGCTCCCTTTACCACTAGCTCCCTTTATTTCAGCTTTGTCGCCTGCTACTGCTTGCTCCTTCCGCGCACGTGTCTTCTCGCAACTCGCGAGAACTGCTTCGTAGGGCCTGCCGGGAATTGTAGTTCCGAAGATCCCTCCCCTTTCTAACTGTGAGACCTAAGGAAAGCCGTGTTAGAAGTAGGGGGCAGAGCCCAGGGATCGAGGGGCGGCCTAAATGAGAAGAAGGAGGGGACCTGAGAAGCAGAGGCTGGAACCTAAGATTGGGACCGAAGCTGTCCCGGAATGGACCCAGGGACTGCGGCCAAAGTGGAGAAGTAGAAAGTGGCGGAAAGTGGCACTGGAGACCACCGAGGGAACGACCAGTCAAGGGAGGGGCGGGCCAGAGCTCGAGTAGCCACGAGAGGGTGGGGCTTGAGCCAACCCATGATGAGAGGGCGGAGTCATAGCTCCACTGCCAGTCCCTCTGGGAAGTCCCACGGTGAGAGTAATTCTATTTCAGGTTTACTTTCGGTAAAATGAAGCATGGACTAATCACTCTCCAAACTTCCCTTTGACTCCAGCATTTTGTGACCTTGGCCTGTGGGCCTGGAATAAGTGTGGGGACAGGGGGCGGGGGAGAGAATGGCGACGCTGAAGAACCGAATAGACACAGGGGGTCAGAGAGCAGCTTTATTAAGCAAGAAGAGGAGGGCTGACGGTCCCCACCCACCCCTAGGCTTGAAGCCAGGGCGAAAGGTTTGAGGGTCCCTTTCAGGCCACGTCCACGCGAGCGAAGCTCTGATCCATGCCCAGGCTGTTCTCCACGTACACTTCGTACTTGCCGCTGTCCTGAGGTGTGGCCCGGCGAATGGTCAGCGTCGTGGTAGTAGTACCGATCTCGAAGAACACCCTGGGGAAGGAGTGGGCAGAGGGAGGCGGGGCTGCGGGTCAGTTTACAGGAGTACTGGGTCCCGCTAATTAGCCAGCCCTGTTCTTTGCCTCCCAGTTCCTCTCCCTCAACCCTCTCCCAGCCGGTTTCTGGGCAGAGTTCCGCCAGATTCCAGCCCCAGGCCCGGCCCTTGTCCTCAGGTACTGGCCCTTGCCTGTCGTCCTCCTCGATGTCCTCCCCGTCCTTAGTCCAACCCACGTCTGGTGGAGGCTCTCCCATGATCTCCGCGGTCAGCGTTACCGTGGTGCCTTTGCGTGCTTTAGTGTTGTCCGGTCCCTTTTGAATCTTAGCGGGTACTAGAGGAAGGGGAGGGGAACGCGACCCCGTGAGGTGAGGTGGGACAGTGGCCTCACCTCTCAGCTAATACCCAGCTCTAAATACGAGGTGCATTAAAAAATTAATTAATTAAAAAACACGGTGCATTTAAACTCCCAGTGACATAGAACAAATCGTTAGTCTCTGGTTTCATCTCCTTAGCTGTTAAAGGGAACTTATCCCTGAACCTCCTACTTCAAGGGGCTGAAGAGAGATCAAAAGAGATACAGCGGGTGGAAATTTGGGAATGTTCACATATCTGCTGTGCTTAGAGGCAGATCTGAGTAGTGTAAATTGCCCTCGTTTGCGAGCCAGAAAACCCACTCTAACATTGTTTATGTCTCTGCCTCGTCCTTTGACCCTGGGGCCTTGGAATCCTGTGATCAAAGCCCACAGCTGACTTCTCAGCCCGGGTGGGGCCAGATCCCGAGATAGGGAAAGATGTCCACTGCCAACGCGGTGATGCGAACCAGGCTGATAAACTCGCCAGAACCCTACCCAGATTCTGCTAAGCCCAGCAATTACTGCGCGGGTCTGGACCCAGCTGTAGGCACCCTCGGGGTGGTGCTGTTTGCGCCCTGGCTTGCGCGGAGGTCGCGTACCTTCCACGAGGATGCGCGCCGAGTCTGAGCACTGGCCGAAAGGGTTGGTTACGTTGATGCTATATTGGCCCAGGTCTGCTAGTTCGCCGTCGCGCACCACCAGTGCCACAACGTCAGGGTCCTCGAAGACGTAGCGGTACTTGGGCCCGTCGCGCAGTTCCTTGCCATCCTTGCTCCAGCGGATGAACGGGTCAGGGAAAGCCGAAATGCGGCAAGTCAACTTGGCAGCGCTGCCCTCGATCAGCACCACGTCCTTCAGTGGCTCCAGCACCCGCGGCGGCCCTTTCTCGCGCAACTCCTTCCTGGACCTACCCCGCGGGCGCGGTCAGGACCCAGAGCTACCATGACATGGCTCCTGCCCTTCTCCAACCCAGTCCTCCCTCACACTGTCTCCTGCCCACCCCCTTGGCCCACCACATCCATGAACAGGGAAATGGGAGTGGATAGGAAGGGGCTGTCCCTGCACTGTTAACCCTAATAAAATGATCCCCTTTTGCCAGCCATCTGGCTGCAACTCAGTAACCTCCCTTCCTTAAATCCAGGGGCCCTGGTGATGTCCTCAAGGGCACACCCCTACCCCAATTCAGGAAGCTACAGCTTCCTTCCTGTTGAAGGCTCGAGGCGGGTACCCTTCACCTGTGGCCTCCTCACCTGTGGCCCCGGTAAGAGGCCTGGATGCGAATGGCAGCGCTCTGAACCTGAGGGTCGTTAATATCCAGGGTACATCCTGGAGGTGGGGCTGCTGGTTTTTTGGCAGGAGCTGCTTTGGACATCTGGTGAGTGGACAATGAACATGGGATCCGGATTGAGCCAGAAGCTCTTCAGCCCTTTTCCTGCCCGATCTAAACATCCTGGGGGATGGGAATATCTGAGGCTTCTCTGGGGAGTGAACTCACCCTGGAGGGGTTGACTTTGGGACTTCAGGCGACTGGCTGGTTGCAAGCGGCCCAGAGCCCTTCTGATGGCACAGTAAGGGTGCAGGCAGGTAATCAGCCCCAGGCCCTGGTTTTATACATCGCTCTCTTCCTTGCCTTGTTTGGGGTGATTGCCTCAAGCCCCCCGGGACCCCAGCCCCCGCCCCTTGACCCAAGCAGGTTCCTTATATAGCCTGAGGATGCCTGGGATGCTGGCTCAGCTGCTGGTACAGGCCCAGGAGGGGAAACTCGAGCGGCTCTGGGTACACTATATGTCAGCGCCTGGACAGCTGGACAACTGGATGCTGCCCCATCCCTTCCCAGGACTGGGGTATCCATCCCACTCCCTGGGGGACCAGTCATGGTCCCTAGCCAGAAAGAGACTCAGCTCACCGCTGGAGCAGTTGACACTCAATTCAGCTTCCATGTAATCCCACATCTGTGCTTCCCACATGGTAGGTTAAGGGGGTGCAAGTGTTTTTGTGGGTGTCCCAGAATGAAGCCAGAGTAGCCTCGGACTTTGTGGTTCATATAGCCAATCATGATAGGGCTAAGTGGCTGTCAAGACCAATTGGGAAAGGCCTTACTCTTCCCCTACCCCCACCCTTACCCCAGGAGTCTGCGGTAGTCATTTCTGCACTGTGCCCCCTGGTGGTAAATGGAGGTAAATCCAGAGGTTGACAGGAATGATTTTTGAGAACAACCTCTCCCATGACATTGCCATCCCCACTCACTCCCCTGGATATGACAAGGTAGGGTTTGGCTGATCTGTGCGGTCCTTGGAGATTAGTACTACTACTGAGTCCCCAACCCTAGGTCTGCCATGCCCTTTTGAGGCTTAAACCAGTGCATAGTTTCACCAGACTATCTGGGGTGAAGGGGTTCACATAAATTCCTCAGGGGCATGCCTGGAGTTCAGTCTATCAGTGCAGGGGCCCAGGTAGGAGCATTGCTTCTGTTAATTGTAACTATCTAACCAGGTGTGGAACATTGTCCCTTTCTTTTTTATAATTTTGTGGTGCTGGATGGAACCCAGGGTCTCATACATGCTAGACAAGCTCTATCACTGAACTACACACCTAGCCCACACTGTCACCTTCTGATCAGAACAATTTTGACACAGCTCTACTGACATAAATTACCTTTGCTCCTCCAGGTTTGGAATAAACAGTTCACATGCCATTTCCAATGGAGATGGGAAAGGAGCTCCAGATCAGAAAGGGGACGGGGAAGAAATTTTACCATTTATCAAGATATGAGTTCAGGCACCTCATTTTTATACAAAACATTTGCAGCATGTAGGAGATTGGAGAATCTCACAGGCAAACTGTATATCTTCATCACTAAAATGACAAGTGGGCAAGGTGTCTCTCTCATCCCTTCCAGCTGGTTTTAACATCCAGTTAGTTTATGATGATGGGGCTTGTCTCTTCCCTGTGGTTCTGAGAAGCCACAGAGGCTGGGCTGGGCTGGGCAAAGGGCAGTTGAAGCTGGAGCCAAGGGGCCCTCAGACTCAAATCAATAGCATGACAATGCCAGTCTCTCTGCTCATGGTTGGAGGCTTTGTTCCTTTTACTTTGCCAATAACAGAGTTTTCAATGGGAGAATCATCCTTCTAGACACAAGGAAGCCTGGCTTCACTCTCCCTACTCATTCCAGGGCAGAGCAGCTCAGTTCTAGGATCAATAACCATTCTGTGGCATTGCAGGTGAGTGGCCAGAGTCAGGGTGCCTTAGCAGACAGCAGACCTAACTTGCCACGAGGACCAGAAGGTCCAGGCTGGTGTGTCAAGTACCCACAGCTGCTCCATGTGTTCCGCTCTGTCTGTTAACACTGGGAGCCTGAGTGAGGCTGGGGCTTGTTCGGGTTTCTCCTGTAGCTCTTTACACAGCCTCCTCTTGCCAGTCTTCAGGATGAAACCCCACTATCCCAGGGCACAGGACCAGAGTGAAGGAAGCTGAGCCAGGACTGGGATAAGCTAGTTCATTCCAGAGCCAGCATTCCTCAAGTTATGATGAGGGGACAATGAGCAGAGGTGGGGTTACCAGAATCCAGTTAGAGGTTGTGGGTGAGGGGTTCAGTAGGATTGGAAGCTTTCTAGAAACTATGGGTTGAGAAGCAGATTGTAGTCTCCCTTCTCTCTAGGAATAAGGAGGGATAAGGGGCCTTGAGGATCAGGGGACAGGGTAGGAGGTCCCAGGGTAAGAGCTGGTATACCCTTGAATGTGTCTTCAGTGGCCCAGAGAAGGACAAATGCCTTTGTCCCCAAACTCAGTCCCCACTAGCCAGCCCTCCCCAAGAGACCACACATAGGTCCTGCTGCTTGCCGTTTTTATTTTCCTTGTGACAGACAGACAGAGAGCTGCACAGACAGCTGGATGGCTGGGGGAATGGTCAGGATAACATGAGCAATAGGGATTGGATGGAAAGGAAAACTTCATAAAAGTCAATAAATAAATAAATATGAACAGGAAAGGCAAAGGTCATGGAGGGACAGTGGGGACATCCTTGGGCCAGCAGAGAGTGCCCAGAGCTGCATCCGCTGGGACAGAAGGACTGCTTGCATGGCCACTTGCCTGGGGCTCTCAGCATTTCTCTTCTCTGCTTCTGGAGATGCCGCTGCTGGCCCATCCCTCCCCTCGTCCCCCCTGAGTTTGCTGTCCTCTCCTCCCACCTTGCTGCCCTCTCTCACACCCTGGCTCAGAACTCCTGGTACTGTCTCTGTGTCCAGTCCCTGCCTCACTGACATTCTCAGCCTGTGTCCCTGACACCTGGGGCTCCTTCCTTGTCTTCCTCTCCAGACTCTCACCCTCCTGGATTCTCCCTGAGATGCAATATGCCTCCCACCCCCAGAACCTTCCTAGAGTCTCTCTGCCTGTCTTCCGTATCTTCCTCTTCACTTCCTCAATCCCTCTTGTCCCTCTTTCTGTTCCCACCCCTGCCCAATGGGGTCTTCTGCTCTGGCTCTGGCTGGGAGTGGCATCAGGCCGAAGCCCTAGAGCCTCTATCCCTGCAGGTCCATGAGGTAATAACCCGGCCAGATGTTGCTGCTGGTGGTATCCGAAGCCCTGGGCCCACCCGGTTCAGCATGGGCCCTGGAATGTCCCTTGACATTGGTGGGAACCCCAAGTTGAAGCCCACGGCCAGGCTGTGGTCCATGATGCTAGGGGCTGCCAGGGTAGGAACGGAGCAGCACCTTGTGGTGGGTGGCGGCCTCAGCCCTGCGGCGCCGCTGCTCGCCCAGAAACTCCTTGAGTCGGTTGGTGGTAAAGGTGAGTGTCTGGCGGCGCAGCTTCATCAGATAGGCATCCTGCAGCCACGGGTGGGCCAGGCAGTCCTGCAGGGAAGGCCGGCTCCTGCCAGGCCAAGCCAGGGACAGTGAGCCAGAACTGATGACTCCCGATGTCCTTGGGCTCTGTCCTCCCCCAGATCCACATGTCAATCCTGATTCCTCCACCATGTGGGTGATACTGGACAACCCCAGAGCTCAGTTTCCCAGTGTCTGGAATGAGGCTGGCGATTCTGCCTCTCAAAGGGCTGTTAGGGACTTTAAATGGAGAATAATGCGACTGCCCAGAAGCAGAAACAGGAATATACTGTTAAGGCAGGTGGGACCAGGGCAGTCTGTACCCAGGGGCAGGTAAGGCAGAAGGGGTTGGCAGGTAGGGGGCCCACTTACCAGGGATGTACTGAGAGAACCTTTCGCAAGAAGAGGGTGGCACTCTGGGATGTGTTGGGGTATAGCTGGAAGGCATCAAAACGGCCCCCCACAATCCGAGCCTCTGTTTCTTGGGGGTCTGGCTCATAGAATGGAGAGTGTCCACTGAGCCTGTTTTAGAAGACAGATAAGTTGAAATAGCCCCAAATCTGCCACTCATTGCTTTTCTACCTTAGTGGACTGAGGGTCAACTCCCAGGCCTGGGGGACATTCATGTGGGGATGCTGGGGGGCACAGTACCAACCTGTTCCTAGGGATGTGCTAGGGAGGCAAGACAGGAAGGAGAATGTGTAGGCAGAAAGAGAGCAGAAGTGGCTGGAGCAGGGCCCAGGGAACTTACATGATGTAGGTGAGCACACCTGCTCCCCAGATATCTGTGGCAGAGCCAATGGGTTCTCCCTTCACCATCTCAGGAGCTAGAGGAGACAGAGGCCAAGCTGACCCAGCTTCCCAGTGACAGGGGAGAAGGAAGAGGCAGGGAGGTTCTTGGGGGTTAGAGGAGCAGGATAATGCTCAAGTCACCAGATTATGGGGACAATCACAACAGTAGGCCTTAGATATTAGCAGACAGGACAGAAGCAGGAGTGGCTCCCAGGAGAGATATGGGCCATCTGAGGAATTAGCCTGGACACTGAATGATGGAGGTCCCCAGAACTCTAGAGGAGTGGAGAAGCAGGGTCATTTAGCTCCCCTGGATCAGCTCCAAGGTAGGACTCCCATTCAAAAAGAGAGTGGCCAACACCAAGATTAAAAGCCTTTGAAACCAACCTGGCTGGCTTTAATCCCAGGCCTGCCCCTCTTAGCTATGGGACTCTGGGTGATTTATTAAACCCTCACTGTCTGGTCTGTAAAGTGGGGCTTGTAGAATAGCTCTAAGGAATAGAGATAATAAACATCAAACATTTAGGAGCTAGCTGAATGGCAGCTGGTTTTCCTTATTTATATAAATAATAATAGATTCTTCTGTCTTTCTAGTCTTAGCAAATCTCACTTCTACCATTTATAACTGATTGGACAAACACTTAAGTTCAGTGTGTTTCTGTTTCCTCATCTGTAAAAAGTAGGTAATACTTTGCCAAACTCCAGGGCCATTGTGAAAATCAATTTTAAAAATTCACGTTAAGAACTTAGTTCATTGCTTGCATACAGTAAGCACACAATCAATGGTAGATATGTATGTGAAGTGGGGTGAGCCCTGGAGGCTGCACCTTTGGCAGTACCCAATCCCCCCCCCACCCCCAGCTGGCAGCTGGTCCCCTCACCCATGAACTCCAGCGTGCCCGTGCGGTGGCCAAGGGGTCGCAGGGCCTGGGGGTTGTAGGGTTGGGCGCTGCCAAAGTCCACAATCTTGAGGGTGTTGTCAGGGGCCAGCAGCAGATTGTCCGGCTTGATGTCCAGGTGTAACACATGGCGGCCATGGAGATAGTCCAGACCTTGTAGCAGCTGCACCACATAGGTGGCCACGTCATCTTCAGAATACCGGAACCTGGGGGTGGCAAAGGCCAAGTGGGAGATCTCCCAGCCCAGCCTCCCCTGCTTTTGCTCCCTGCTGCCCCAGAAAGTCTGGCTACCTGTCACTGAGCCCACAGAGGAGTTCCCGGTTGCCGCAGCTCTCAGCAATGAGCACAAGGTACCGAGGGGTGATGTAGGCCTCGTGCAGGGACATGAGTCGCTCGTGGTGCAGTGTCCGGAGCACTTCGTATTCCTGCAGGACTTGCCGTTTGCCCTCTGCTGCATATGGCACAATCTTGGCCACAAATGTACGGCCTGTGGCATTCTCCCGGCATGCTCGCACAACACCAAAGCGGCCCCTGTGTGGGTAGGGGGACACCACAGGTTCAGGGGCATATTCCTTGTGAGGACTAAGGGGATAAGAATGCAGTGGGTTCCCCTGTGGGCTCTAGAGCTCAGTCCTGGGAACATCCACCTCTGCATTCCTGGCTCTCTACCCTGGGCAGCTCCCATATGCTCTCCAACCTCAGCTCTCCTCCCACCTGTGGGATGGGTGATGACAGTAGGGTAGTGCCTCCTCTACCTGATGAGGATTGACAGCATGTGGCTATCAAGCTCAGGACGGCACCTGGCACATCTGAACTCACAACTTATTTTGTGTTTTGCATGCTGGGATTGAGCCCAGGCCTTGCACATGCTGGGCAAGTGCTCTGCAACTGAGTCACATCCCCAGCCCTGAACTCAACAGTTCCAAGGACCTGAATCTCAGCACCTTTCCCCAAGGCTGGCCAGGACAGTCTGCTGGGCTCTCCCCGGCTGTGTTCCCTACATCCAACTCTCTCCCCGTTCTTCCCTCCTTCCCTTCCCTGGTCCTACTTGCCTGGCTTTTTCTTCCAGGAAGGTGTAGGGTTTCTGAGGGAGGCCCTGTCTCAGAGTAGTGCCCTCTGGTGTGGGGGACCTGGGGGGGCCGCCCCCAGGGGAGCTGACCACCTCTTTGCCTGGGCTGAGGCTCCGCACAGTCACCTTGGTGAGCTCAGGAGGGGGCTCAGGGGCTGGGGGCTCGGGGGCTGGGGGTGCAGACACAAAGGAAGTCACCATATACAGGGGAGTGGAGGAAGACGCTGGTTTAACTGCTTGAGGGGTGGAGGTTGGAGTCCCTGTCCCAGTGTCAGGAACAAAAGACTTGGGCTCACTTAGGGTGACCTGGGCACTGGGTAGGGTGGGCTCTGGTTGCTGAGTGGCCTGCAGGCCCCTGTGCTTTCGTGGGGGGGTTTGGGGTGGTGGACCCACAGCCTTGAGTGACGACCAGGCTTGGCTGGGGGGCGTGAGAGGGGCTGAGGGGCTGAGAGAGGCTGACTGGGGGGCTGGGGGAGCTGGGGTCAGGGTCAGTGAGGTAGGAGAGTCAGGAGGCTGGGCCCTGGCTGGCCCTGAGGTAACAGGGGCATCTTGGTGAGCAGCAGATGGCCGAGCTGAAGAATCTAAGAAGAAACAAAGAAAATCATCACCATGTGTCCTGGGGGCAAAGCCACCATGCTCCAAGCGAGGGAAAGACCCAGGACTCAGGCTCCCCTTCTTTCTCCTGTCACCCCCTCCAGCCACTGACCTTGAATGCCCCTGACGAGGACCTTCTCAGAAGGGTTGCTGAAGGGGCCCTGCCCAGCACGGTTGGCACAGGCCACGCGGAACCTCACAGTTACACCAATGGGCAGGTGTGTCACGTTGTAGTAACAATCAGGGATGCCTGAGCTCACGGGGTGCCAGGTAGACTCCCCTGTGGGCAGCATAGGGGCGGGTATAAGGCCACAGAAGGGGAGGCCCAAGCTCCAAATACTGTCTAAGAACATGGGAAGGGACCTCTGGGTAAGCAGGACACTTGCCTTCCCAGACTCCCCTTACTTGCCACCGGCCACCTTCCTCCCCTCACCATCCTGCCCTGTTCCTCACCATCCACCCGCCGCTCCAGTGTGTACGTGCAAGGAGCCCGGCTGTCTCCCGGCTTCCACAGCACCAGTGCCGTGTCCTGATAGGTCTGGGGCACCTCAGGAGGAGCTAGTTTTCCTGGGACACCTGGTAAGAGGGAGAGAGGCTCAGTGATACTCCAGCTAAGGGCCTATTAAGCCCCACTCCACTGTCCCCATCACTCCCCACTGGGGCCCTGCCCCAGACTCACGGGCCACAGCCACAGTACAGGAGCTGGTGATGCTGCCCAGGACATTGGTGGCTGAGCACTCATACAGCCCGGCATGTCGCTTGCCCGCCCGGGGGATGCTCAGCAGCTGCCTTCCATCTTTGCAGGACACGATGACCACCGAAGGCTCTGACTGAAGGGACTGCTTGTCTAGGGCAGGGAGGAGCAGGAGGGGGCTGCTGAGTGAGGCAGCACATGTTGAGACCCCTCTCCTGTGCACATGCCCCTGCCCCCAGCCTCCCCTGAACCATGGTCACCCCAAGGCCTGGCCTCTCCCATCTCCTGCATTTGAGTTTCTGGCAGCAATCCCCATAATCTCCTTACCTTTCATCCAGGAGATTCGGGGAGCAGGACAGGCAGCTGGCAGGCAGAGCAGGGTGGCTGCCTCCCCCTCCAGCAGCACCTGGTCCTTGAGTTTGATGTGGAAGACTGGGGGGAAGTCTAAAAGGAGAGCAAAGACAGCCAGTGTATGCAGGCCCCGGGCCACTTTCTGAGGGAGGGGTGGGTGCGTGTTTGTGAGCCCTGAAGCGCTGCTGCATGGATCAGAGTGCAAGGCTGTCTCTTCCCACCCAGATGTGGGAAGGGGAACTCAGTCCATGCCTGAGAATTTTCTCTGGGGTGAGCATCACTTTCCCCAGGCCCTCAGCATGTGCAGACTACCTTTTCCTTGCAATGGTTATTGAAGATGCGTGGGACATACCTTGTATTTGCAAATCACTTAGAGCAGGGTCTGGAGCTAAGTGCTCTATAAGCATTTGTCAGATAAAATAAAAACAAATAGTGAAAAATGTTAACAGTTAAGATTCTGCACTGCCCACTCCTGGGCACTACAGGTAAGTGAGAAGGGAAGGGAAAGTAGGTGGTGACCTGATCTGAGACTGAACATAGATTCTCCCATCAGAATATAGTCTCAAAAGACCTGAAGTCAACATATCATGAGCAGCCCCTGGAAGTATGCCAGCCTTCTTGCCCCTGTAGTGTCAGACTCCTAGACCTTCCACTTCCTCCTTTAGGTCAACTAAGGAAGAAGAACTTTTGAAATGGCAAGAAACACCATCCTAGCCAGGCATGGTGGTGTAAGCCTGTTAAGATCACAAGTTTGAAGCCAGCCTAGGCAACTTATACTCTGTCTCAAAAAATAAAAAGTGCTGGGGATGCTCAGTGCTAGAGCGCCCCTGGGTTCAATCCCCAGTACTCCCACCACCACCAACATACACACACAGGAGTATCTATTTGTCTTTGGGTAAGTCATATACTGTCTCAGAAGCTCCATTTCTTATCTGCAAAATGAGGAAAATAATAATAATACCAAGCTCAGAGGGTTGTTGTGAGAATTAAGAGACTCATACAAAGTGCTTAGTATGTGTCTGGCATGAAACAAGTACTCATAAACATTCTATTATGGTGTTCTCTTGGTAATATGTCTAGCAGAAGAGCCAGAAGCAGAACTCAGAAAACAGGCTGTTTCAGCAAAGCAGAGAAGTTGCTTTACCATGGACCGGTGACCTTGCCTATTGGTTTACTGTGGACTGGTGACTTTGCCCATGATCCTGGGGCCAGGATCTTTGCTCCAGTGTAGTTGGCCTGTGACTACTTAGTGCCATGAGAAGCTAGGTTTGTGATCCTTAGAATTTCCCTTTAGAAAACCCCCAAATCTTGTTCTGACCACAGGGGATGAGGGGATTTTTATCACCTGCGCACAGAGACCCATGGGAGCCCCGGCTCCTGCCTGTCTGAAGAAGCAGGAGGGAGTGTGAGTGGGGATGAGCAGGCAGGAGAGGAATACTTAGCGGGAGTGGATGGCCAGGATAACAGCCTGCACTCCCCTGACTGCCTGTACCCATTGTTCCCCTCTGAGGCTCCAATGTAATGTGAACATATTTTCATCAACAGCTGCCTCCAGACCAAGTGGGCAGGAAGAGAGGTGAAAGGTGACCTGAGCCAGTGCTGCCAGCCCTACCACCATTCCCCCAGGGCCAGCCCTGGTTGGTGAAGTGGACACAGGACAGGCTTTTTCCTACTGGGAGAGGATGAGGTCAGGGGACACTGCTGGGCAGGGAATCAGCTGCACAAGCAAAACGGAGAGGGAGGGAGGCCCCAGGTGGGAAGGGATCAGCTGTCCCCAGTCCTCTCTGCTGGATGTTTTCCTTCTTTCCCCCTCCTGTTCCACCCTCCCCCCACCAACTGGCCTCCCTCCCTCCCCTTCACTCAATACCGGCTGGACACAGTCCCCTCAAGCCTAGCTGAGGCCAGGCTAGAGCCATTCTGAGCAGTTCAACCAGGAACTGGGCAAGAATGGAGCTGGTGGCTTATAAAGATCATGCACAGACTTGTTTGGTGGTCGGCTCCCGTCTTTCCTGCTGGTCTGGAACACTTGGCATCCCAAAGCCTTTGCTTGCTGTCCTTGAGTAAAGGCCCTTTTCCAGGTAGGGTGACCCTAGGTGGAGAAAGCCTCTCTCCCTGCAGCCCCAGTACACTAGGGCAAGAAACAAGCCAGTGCATACCCCAGGCCCCCTCCCCGCCAGCAAACAGCCCTGAAGACTGCTTTTCCTCACAGATGTGCCTTCTGTGGAAGGAAGGGGCAAGGAGGGCAGCCAGGTGTTCCAGGCTGTAGAAAAATGGAGAATTGGGGGCACAAGTAAGGCTGGGAGACAAAGTGTTTCTTTGAGTGTACACTCAAGTACACACACTTGAAGGTGGCCATGGGGGCAGTCAGGAGCTCAGGTTCCTTCAAAACCATACCCAGGTACAGAAACCTTCTAGAGTCTCCCATGAGAGAAGAGGCTAAAGAAAAGCCCAAATCCAGTGCCCCGAAGCCACTCTGGGCCCTGGCTGCAGAGGGTCACACAGTTCAACTCTGGCTGCTCCACTTATTAGCTCTGCCACTTGGAAAAGCTACTTAGCATCACATCACTAAGCCTGTTTCCTCACCTGTAAAATAGGATGATGACAATAATTGTTCCTAAACAATGCTGCAGCACTGAATGAGACAGCGGTTGTAAAGTGCTTAATAGGACACTTGGCTTTGCTAATTAATGGCAGCTGTTGCTATGATTATCCTTGTTGTTTTCCTGACTCTAGGCCCCTTCCTTGGCTGCCCAGGCTCCTCACCTCCCACCCAGCTAGGACTGCTCCCTGGGGCGGGGGTAGGGATATGCTCACCCAACAGGTCTCTCTTACCTGACTCACTGGGCACATACTGGTGACCCAAGTCCTCTTGGACACTGGCAGAGAGGTTTGGCTGTGATAAGCCCTTGTCCTTCCGCATCCGCGAGAAGCCCCAGCGGAGCCTGCTTCGGCTTTCCCCTGGAGCTGCGCAGACCCAGGCCTATGAGCGTTTGTTTACCCAGCCAGTACCAGCTGGCTCCAGCCTCCCTGCAGCCCTCAGCCCAGAGAAGTAGAAGATCATCTAGCCCCTGCCTTGCTCCGTCCCAGCCTCGGCCTCTCAGCCTCCTTCTTCTCCAGCACTGTCAATTCCACCCTCAGGGCTCCAGCACCTCTGTAGCCTCTTTCTGGGGTGTCCTCAACCTCTCCTCCTAGAGCTTCTTTCCGCATACCCCAACCTCTTTCGCTCTTGGAACCTGCTCGCCCCTAGCCTAGCCCTTCCTCACCTGAGGAGCCCGAGGTGGCGCTGGCCTCAGAGCCCAGAGACTCAGCGGAAGGAGTAGTGGCACCGGCCTGAGAGGCCAATTGGTTGTGTGGGATGCCAAGGCGTCGCAGACTCTCGCCTTCGGAGGTGGCCCTGCGCAGACGTCCAAAGAGCGGCGTGCTGCGGCCCGAGGCGCCTCCGGAGTCCTCGCTGCTGCCGCTGCGCTGTAACCTGCTCGACAGCCGCTCCAGCGTGGAGCTGAGCCTCCTGCGCACCGCCAGGACCGGGGAGCCCCGCGCTGAGCTGCCGCCCTCTGAGCTCTCCCCGTCTCCGCCTCGAGCCTCCCAGGCCGGGTGGCGCTGTGAGGGCGGAGTCCGCCGCAGCTTCTGGGACAGCGACAGTGAGAGCCGGCGGACGAGGCCCGGCTCCCCGACAGCCCTCAGGTCCTGCACTGAGCGCGAGCGCTCTGACCGTCTCACCAGTTCCAGCGGGGTTCCCGCCGGGCTGGGCCGGTACATGCCATCCTCGTCCTCGGCCCCGCGGAAGGGACCACGCTCCTCTGAACGCGAGCGGCTCAGTAGCCGCAGGCCCCGCGACAGGGGCGATTCGCGGCTGCGCTTGAACTTGGCTTCGAACACCGCCTCTGACTCTAGGTTCTCAATGCTGCTGCTAAGGCTGCTGCCTGGCCTGGGGGGTACCGTGGGGACCCTGGCTTTCTCGACTAGCACTGGGGGAGCCCTGGGTGAAGGCAAGCGCTTCTCTGGGACTCCTGGAGGCGGGGAGGCCACCCTGGCGAACACGGCCGCGTGGGGTTTGGGCTCTGACGAGGGCGATGGGGGGCTCTGTAAGGGCTGGGCGTGACCGGCCAGCTGGAGCGACTGCATGATCTGGGCATAGGGCGTGAGGGGCAGCGCTGGGGTTTGCAGAGCCACGGGGAGCTGTGCCGGCCTGGAGGCTCGGCCTGGTTCTGGCGTGGGCTCTGGGGCCTTCTCGGGGGTAGGCAGGGGTGCGGAGGGCTGGGAAGAACCACCTGGCGTGGCAGTAGCGGGTTCCTTAGGTTTGGGGATACTAGGTTTGGGAACGCTGGGACGCGCGGGGCTGGGCGGCTGGGCCTCGCTGAGGGCAGACAAGGAGGGAGACTCCTGTAGCCTGCGGGCCCCAAGCCTGGCTACAGGGATTTCGAGGGGTGCCCCGGCGCGGCGGTGCCGCCCCCGAGGCTCCGCCTCTCCCTGCGAGAAGCTGCTGCTCTTTTGCAGGCCCCGCGTCTCGGGTGGCGGCTGGTGGTGTGGCGCTGCCTCGCTGGAGGCAGCCCGCGCCATTCGGGGGTCGCGGGCACGGCCTCCCAGGCTTTCCAGCAGGGGGCCCCTGAGGCCGCTGACCTTGCCGTCCTCCGGACCTCCTCGTAGCAGCCGCTGACGCAGCGCCTGCAGCCTCTGGGCGTACTCGCCCTCGCCCAGGCCTCCCCGGGCCAGGCGGGTGGCTCCCGGGCTGGGGCTCCTGCGCTGCGGCAGCTCCACAGACGCCGCCTTGTGCAGGCCCCGGCCCGGCTCCCGCGGCCCAGCCCGGGGCAGGGCGCTCTCAGCGGAGCTACCCCTGCGGAGCTCTCCCCGCCTGGGACTGGACCCAGCTGGGGGCTCCTGGCCTGGAGAGGGGAGGGCCTGAGGGCTGGGAACCTCCTGGTCCTGAGAGGGAGCCCTTCCCAGCTCTTGCCAATCCATGGGAGTGGCAGCACCAGCCTCTGGGGTTCCCAGGGCCTCATCCTCAGTGGGAATGTCTGTGAGGGACACCCTGGAGCCAGAGAACTCTGGTTGCAGGGGGCGGGGAACAGTGGGCAACTCCTCCAGCTCTTCCTCTTCCGAGTCCGAGGAGGATGAGAGCCCCCCACTGGGGGGTGTTCTTCTGGGCATGGCCACCCACACCCTCTCTGGGGGCGCCCGCAGCAACTCTGGGATGGGGCGCAGCACCAGGTGGCATTTGTAACTGATCTGTGAGCGCTGGAGACAGGGTGCTAGAGTCAGACCTGAGGGGCCCCCAGGCAGGACTGCCACCCCTCAGGCCCACCTCAGCCCTGGAGAAGGAGGCCTAGGCAGGCAGAGGGGCGGGGGCATAAGGAAAGCCAGAATTGAGACAACACACACAGAGGAGCAGGAGGTGAGGGCACACAAGGAAAACAGACCAGTTGAGAGAAAATTAGATGGTGAAGGAACAGAGGCAGGGCTGAGCCACTCACCTGCCACCTCCGACGTGACAGGAAGAGCTTCAGGTGATCTGTGCTCACCTCGGCTCCCTTTGCCTGTGTCTGCAAACCCAGGAAAGAGGACCTGAGGGTCAGCTCTCTATTAACCTAGACCCTCAAGGTTTGGCAATGGAGAGACAAAGTCCACTGGGGGTTGAAGGCATGGAACGGCAGCACTGAGTCTGGGCTCCTGAGGGTCCTCTTTCCCTTTGATCAATCAGGACAACTACCATAGTCAGGGTGCACACTTGTGGACAAACTCCCTGAATCTAAGGGGACAGGTAGAAATCGGGTGGCTCCCAGGAATGGCTTCTGAGCTGATACCGGGGGCTCAAGGTCCTCTCCTGTACACTGGCTGTCTGGGAAGGCTGTGATCTTAGGCCCCTGGCTGGCCCCTAGTTGCCCTTCTGTCTCCATGTAACGCCACATTCCAGGCATCAGGAGCTGGGGTCTGGACAAAGACAGAGGCTTCCCTGAGCCACCCTCACCCACATGGCTCTTGTTTCTGATCTGAGGAGGCTCTTACCTCAAGGACTGCTAGCAGAATGACCAAATTCTCCAGCTGACCCAGCACAGCAAGCACTCAATGGAGTTTATTCAAGTGTTCTTTCTGGACTCAGTTGCTAAACTCACACCTCTGTGCCTAGCACTGTGCTCTGGGGTGCTGGGGTTTGAAGATGAATGAGAACCCTGTCCTCACGGAGATCATAATAAGAGGCTGAGCCTACAGGCCACCCACCCACCACACTGTGAGGACCAGTACAAGACAGTGGTGGACATACAGAAATGACGAAGATGAGGGCTGATCTCTAGCATCAGACAGAACCCTGAAGAGGACTCCTGGAGTGGAGGGGATTCAAGACTTAGAGTCCATTATATCCCAACTTGATCACTTAATTGGGGTCCAATTTCTTTATCAACAATGGGAACTATGCCTTTCTTTACTGAGCTATTATGAGGCTAATAGATCATATGTATATAAACTAGAGCATAGTTAGTGCATATAGTAGATGTTCAATAAATTGAGCTATAATGTCTTCTCTCCCTCTCCCACCACCAACTGGCAGGACTAGACTTACTTTGAACCAAGGATGTTCTAGAGTCTCCTCTGCAGTAGGTCTCCTGTAAAGGAATGAGGATTAAGTAGGGATTTTTTTGTTCATTTATTCAGATAGTTAATAAATGTTTGAGAAAACAGGGCCTCTAAGGAGCTGGGGGTTACATATCTAAGGACAGAGGCTTAACAGGAGTAGGCGGGTGGCATGAGGGGTCTCGTACTCACATCCGGTCCTGCACCAGCACTTTGATGAGGAAGCCCCGGGCCTCTCTGCTCAAGCTCAGGAACGTGGTCTCCTCAAAGGCCACATTGTAGTTTCGGATGTTCATCAGTGTTGTCCGATCGTTCTCTCCAACAAACGGGGAGATTCCGGTCAGACTGCAGGTGGAGAGGACTGTTGTGAGAGGAGGGTCCTGGGGCTGAGGCAGAAGTGAAGTAGAATGCAGGGGACCAGGGGCAGGTAGAGGCCCCAGGTTGTGGGGATGGCACAGGCTGGGTGAATCTGAATAAGAAGCCAAAGCTTCAGACTCTTGCCTGTCCTGCTCCTACTACAACCCCTGGAAGAGCAGAGGACAGTCCTGCCTTGGGACCTGGTTACTTGTGCTTTTAGAGGACCAGTTCTGCCCCACCTCCCGTGTGGCCTTTCTATGAGATGAGGCATCTGTGTGAAGGGAGTCCCACCCCTTATAGTCCATGATCTTGACACTCAGAACCAGGCAGTTCCCTGCCCAAATGGCACTGAGTTGCACTGGTCCAATGTGTCCATCTCTTATGGAGGGTGTGATAGTGGACAAGGTCGGACATGCAGACCAGGGCATCCAAGTTCATGCATGTAAGGCCCCTTGAAGTGCAGGAAGATGTGGAAGTAGAGGGGTGGGCTGCGGGCCCTGCAAATGTTAGGGGTGGGCCTATCAGGAGACCATTAGGAGACTGGAGAGGATTCTTACCAAAGGAAGGCAATGACGCCCACAGGCCTGTGGGAAGAGAGTGGACAGGTGAGAGGATAGCCTGCCTCCTGCTGGAAGTGAGCAGTTCTCTGATACCTCAACTCTGAGATGTCCTCCCAAGGAACACCATGCTGGACAAATGGACACAGTAGTGTCTCCTTCGGGGAGGCCCCTGAACCCAGTGGTTCAAAAGGCTCATGACAGGGCTGACCTGTCATGAAGCCCAGAGAAGTCTGAGCACCAATGAGAGCATGTCTGTCTCACTAGGGTGGCCCCACCCCCAAGGGAGCCAGGAGCCGAGGACTGCAAGACTCTTACATGGGCAAGAGACCCTGTGAATACTGCCACCAGGCAACTGTCAGAGAATGCTCATAATGCTCCTCTTTGCTGGTGAGCTAAGTCCTAAGTCCCCAACATGGCCCACCCAGTGGCTGAGAATGCCAGCATTACCAGATGTCAGTGACTCCAGACACAGGGCTCTGGTTGACGATCTCGGGAGCAACGAACTCAGGTGTGCCATACTGGCAGTACTGGGGCTCTCCTGGAGTCAGCTCCTGGGCATTCCCAAAATCACAGATGCGCACCTGCTCTTCGCCGTCTGCACCGTCCCACACCAGCAGGTTCTCAGGCTATGAAACACAAGCAATGGGAGGAAGCTGAGTAAAGTACACTCTGCCTCGTGTACTGATCAGGGGCTGCCTGCTCTCCCCTCTCTGCCTCACCTTGACATCGAGGTGCAGCACCTGGCTCTGATGCAGGTAGCATATTCCCTCTAGTACCTGACGCATATAGGCCCGGATCTGTGGAAACAGGAAGCCCAGAGTCCTTGGGGGTAGTGTGGGGAGCTATGCTTGATCACCACCAGGCCAGGGGAATGGCTTTCAGATGGCTCATGGAGGGGGTTGAAACACAAGTTTGGGGTTGCTAAGACCTAGGGTTATCATGTACAGCTATACAAGTTGGGAACAGCACAATTATAGGGGACTTTACATTATGAAATATAGAGCTGTGCAGTGTATAGTATGTACAGCCAGACCCTGCAGGATGGCAACGAGACCCAGAGTCTAGGTGGGGTTGCTTCTGAGACACGATTGGGGAATGTGTACGTGAGAAAGACCAAATCAACACTGCTAGGGCTTAGGGTGGGTCTGCTGAGATCAGAGGACAGTACAAGTCCCAAAGAGATGGGGGTGTGGTTCCCCCAGGGTGGGGAGTTCTGTTGCCTGCCTAACAATGCTCTCTACCACCACCCTTGGCTTCCTCATGGGCAGAGGTGGTATGTGGGGGCACCCCCCTGTTGACTCTCTGAGCTCAGATGGGTGAAGGCTGGTTCCCAACCTGGCCCCTGCCACCCGCTGCCCTCACCTCAGACTCACACACGATGGGTTTCCTGGCCATTCTCTCCAGCAGCTCCTCTGTACAGCTATGTCCTGGATCAAGGAGAACAGTGACCAGTGCAGACTGCCTGGCCCAGCCCCAGAGATCAGCATGGGCCTTAGCTCCGCACAGGCTTCTCCTTCCCCTTAAAGCACATCTGATACCAGTCAGAGTTGTCCTCACCTTTCCCCATCATGTGGGTGCACAGATGGGACAACTCACTCGCTGGAACACTCACTTATTGCAGGACTTCAGGCAAGTCACTTATCTATCCTCTCTGGGTTGAGGTTCCCTCAGGTATAAAATGGGAATAACACTCTCCCCTGCCCACCTGATGAAGTATTTATAGGGATCAAATCATAGAAGAGGGGGCTGGGTTGTGGCTCAGTGGTGGAGCACTTGCCTAGCACATGAGAGGCACTGAGTTTGAGTCTTAACACCACACAAAAGTAAACTAGTAAAATAAAGTTTTAAAAAGTTTTTTTTAAAAAAAATCATAGAAGAATCTTGTTGACTGTGGAAGGAACTTCTTGATGCTATCTGGTAATGAGCCAGAGGTCTACAACATGGAAAAATTTGTCATTTTGCTGAGGTTTATATTTGAACAGTGAGGCCTGGGTGACTGGTAAGCAGGTCATGGTCACCCTGATATAGGAGAGTTGAATCAATCACCCAGCATCCTTAATTCAAAGTGCCTTTGTTTAACTGAAGCTTTCATGAAAGGTAACATTTTTTTTTTTTTTTTAATGAAAACAGCCTCCCAAATAAAGCCAAGCATAGCTGCTCATTTGAAGTGGGCTCCTTCAAAGGTGCAGATACACTGTGTGTCTTTCACTGCCCCTACACCCCAGCACTGGGATTGATAATTTTTTTAAAATATTTTTTTTAGTTGTCAATGGATCTTTATTTTATATATTTATATCTGGTGCTGAGAATCAAACCAAGTGCCTCACACATGCTAGGCAAGCGCTCTACCACTGAGCCACAACCCCAGCCCCAGACTGAAACAGGCCTTGAGTTTGCAGTACTCTTGCCTCAGCCTCTGGAGTTGCTGGGATTACAGATGTGTGCCACCCAGTTACTATCCTGCATTTTGTGATTAAAAAGCATATGCCATTTGTTAGCTATGTGACCCTGGGCCAGTTATTTAACCTCTTCATACCTGTTTCATCATCCTTCAAAATTGGATAATAAAATCCCATCAGGTAGGTTTACATGAGACTTACATAGGCTGATAATTGCAAAACTCATAAAACACTGCCAGACACATATTAAATGCTATGTAAGACTAAGCTAGGAAAAAAAAAAGACTGGTTTTCACAGAAGCCTCCAGACTTAATCCTCCCAGTTGTCAACAGGTCCACTTTGTAAATGATAATCCAGGCATGGGTACCCTCCACTCCCCTGCAGCCTGTCCCAGGATACAGCTCAGTGACAATGACCAGTCCCCGGCGCCTTTCGAAGGCCTCATGGAAGTAGACGATGCAATCGTGCTGAAGCCGGGCCAGCAGCCGGGCTTCCCGCCGGGCTGATGCCTTGGGCTTTGCCTGGCTGGGGATGAACTTGGCCGCAAACTCCAGGCCAGAGCTGCGTTCCACCACACGCCGCAGGTAGGAGAAGGCACCCCTGGGTGATACAAGGAAGGTAGCAGTCCTCAGCTGCAGCCCTGTCTACCCTCTTCTGGCCCTCGGACCCACCAGCCTCCCTTGGCCCCCTACATTGGTGCTTCCCAGCTCCACACCTGCCAATCTCCTGGTGAATGTCATAAAAGTCGCTGAGTCTCCTTCCTCGATGTTCTCCATCCTCCCCGACCCCCTCGACCTCCATAGCTGTCTGAGCTGTGGAAACAGATGTCCTGAGGTTAGGTGAGGAGGGCATGAAAGGGAAAAGGGTAGAGACTGGGACCAGCGGGGAAAATGGAGGAGACAGAAGAGGAGCAAGAATATTGGGGCCTAAGGTGGGGAGCTGGGGCTGGGGGATGCGATGGTCAGGAGTGAAGGGCAGGGGCTCACATCATGTTCCTGGAAGTGGGCATCTGGCCCTTCTCCCCAGGAACTACAGCTCACCAGAGTGCACAGCCAACTCTGCTTTGCAGGAGACTTCCCCTGCCAGGTTCCGGGCAGTACAGGTGTAGACGCCCCCATCCTGGGTCCCCGTGCTGAGCACCACCAAGGAACACTCGTTCTCTTCATATACAAAGCTCACATGGCTGCTCTCAGCCAGCAGCACCTCGTCCTGCAGAGGTAGGTGTTACCTCCAGCCCGGGCCTGGCCTCACCTCCACCTGGCACCCAGCTTTATTTCCATACTAGAGACCCAGATTCATCTAGATCTGTGAGCCAGGAGCCCATTCACCAGGTGGCTTCTCCATACCAGTGGCCTTGCTCCTCCAGGACCCAGAGTCAGCTTCTCCCTTAGCTTAGCTAAAAGACCTGCACCTTTTAGTCAATCATCTGGATCCCACTTCCTCCTCCTAACCACATCTCTGCCCAGACTCCTTGCTCCTAAGGCCTCCAGAACCTCTCAAGCTCCCAGGGGACCCCTTCCCCATCTGCCAGGCTCTGGCAAACTGGCCTGATCCCTGCTGAGGCCTATATCACCCACTGACCTTGTACCATGTGATGTCTGGCAGCGGTTTCCCCTCAACCACCACAGCAAAGCGAGCGGTTTCTCCAGCCCCAACCTCCACATCCTCCATGATGGACTCAAACCGGGGAGCCTCTGAAACATACAGGAACAGGTGAGTAGAAGGGCGGGATTAGCACGTTCTCCAAAGGTCCTGCCTTCTCAGTCCTTCTTCTAAACCCTATCAGCAACTGGCTTCTCGGAATGCCAGGCCCTAGCCTCCCAGGCCAACTACCCCTCAGAACACCAAAGTTCCTTGCCTGGACCAAGTGTTCTCCCTATAAATCCAAACATAATGTTCTCCAAATCTCTGAAAAACTGTCACAGGTACAGGCTTACTTGGTTTGACCTTCAGCGTTCATTTACTAGCTTTGAAATTAGGAGAGTTGTCACACATAAAAGAAATCTGGATTTCCTGTCTCTTGAAAAATCAGGACTGGCCATCCTGAGCCACTTCCCCTCTTGTATTAACCAGCAAGCATGGTGCGGCTCAATGCTGCCCCCTGTGGGCGACTGCTCTTCTCACAGTTCCACCAGACTACTACTCAGGGATGACATTGCCTTTTTTTCTGTGGTACTTTCTTTTTCTCTTTATTCTGTGGACTGGGAATTGAGCTATATGCTAGATAAGCCCTCTATCACTGAGTTACATCCCCGGCCCTTTTTATTTTTTGAGAGACAGTCTTTCTGAGTGCCTAGGCTGGCCTTGAACTTATGATTCTCCTGCCTCAGCCTCCTAAAGAGCTGAGTGAGAGACGTTCTCCACCACTCCTGGCAACATTACCTTTAATCTTAAAGTTTTTCCATCTGAATCTCATTTAAATGTTTAGGGGACTTTCTACCATCTGGAAGACGGTAAGATAACCCCCAAATGTTAACCAGACAGTCTAGAAGCTAACTTTCTACTTAGTTCTCCCACAGGTGATTGATTTTATCCTCCACATACATGTGGACCTGCAAAGCCACTTCTAATTCTCATGAATTAAATATATTTTTGCATTAAATACATTTGTGAAGAAGCCTATGATTTCCATGTGCTCTGTCCTAAGCATGTTTGAGGATCTTGGCTTTAAGGAGAGTGGGAGTGAGTGATCAGGACCTCAGGGAGGAGCAGGGTGGCCAGGTATGGACCACCACCCACTTCAGGGACCCACTTGGCTTTATGCAGACAGCAGGGGGCTCTGTTCTAGGAATATGGGGGACAGATACTGCAATGTAGCTGATGTGGAGGAAGGGGGCTAGCATTCCACTTGCCCTGCCTGGCTGGGGCTGGGCTGGAGCCCAGTGAATGAGGGTGATAATGGAAGCCCCAGGTCCATTTTAGCCCTGGCTGGGTGGATCATAGTCTCCCTCATTCACTGCTCTGGCCAAACTGTGCTGCAGGGCTTTTAGGGCCAGGGCCTCTCTATGCTCCAAACATAGGGCTGTGTCTGGAAAGGAAGATGAGTCTTGCAGATGGCACTGTTGGGGAACAAAGCAGTGACTGAGTAGGAAGTGCTGGGGATCATGGCTGGGCAAAGGGCAAGACTCTCCAAAGGGGGCCCCCAGGAATCTGTGGCCCCACCCCATCTACCCTCTTCACCTCCAAGTCAGGAGGGTTCCCGTCTCTTCTTCTCACCCCTTACTGCTTTCTCTCCTTTCTAGAAATCTGGTCCCCAGGTGAGCAGGGAAGCAAGCTCTGAAGGTCAAAGCACCAGAAAGTTTCAAGTGAATGTCCATGACTGTTTTAAAGCACTGGAAAATGTCCATTTGCCCAGATCGCCTGTGCTAACAAACATGTCACTTTCTTTGCTTTTGGCTGGAATTATATCTCTCGGCAGGTAGCACTGTTCAGCTCATGTGGATCTGAAGTTCTGAGTGGCAGTTACAGATGTCTGGAGTTAATTAACAACCGGAAAACAAAACAATTACTACTTAAGCATGCTACGGCTTAAGAGGCTACATCCTCAAAGGAGAAATTATAAAAAGGGGCCTTGCTGTGAAGGTTGGGAGGCCTGGTCAAAGAGGGTTGTACAAAAAGGCAGCCAAGAGCCTCAGAGATGGGAGTTGGGTGACAAGCTGCGCTCAGTGGCTCTTGCTTGTTTTTATTAACTCAGTCTTCCCAGTCTTGTTATAGCTGAGATCTCCTTCCTGTTGGGCTTAGCATAAGAGCCAGGGCTTTGGAGTCTGACATCCAACTTGAACCCAGCTCCTGTATTAATTTATTTAACCTGGCTCCTTGGGCCAGGTTAGTTAGCACACTTTTGAGCCTCAGTTTCCTTACCTATAAAGTGGGGATAATAACCAACCCCATTGCACAAGCTTGTTATAGGTATTAAATGAAGTGATCTATGTAAGACGCTTATCACCGATCCTGGCACATACTAGGTGCCCAATCAATATTTTATTAGTATTATCACTGCTATTATTACTAGTACTGGTCTTATTACTGCCATTAGATGTACAAGCCTGAGAGGGAGGACATGGGATGTGATCCCCAGAGGCAGGTGGGTGTGTACACCTGAAAGCATGCTTCAGAGGGAGGAATGGGAAGAATGCCTACTGTCACCCACCTGCCAGCTCCAGTGTGACCGAGCAGGCCTGTGTGCCATGGCGGTTGCGGGCAGTGCAGGTGAGTGACCCCACGTCCCGGCGGCTCACCCGACAGATCCGAAGAGAGTACTGGTCGTCATCCGGCTGGCTTAGCTCATACACACCTGTCCGTGCCTCCAGGAGGGCCCCTCGGCAGCTAAGGGACACAAGACAGGACAGGAGGTCCTCCTAGGCCAAGCTGGGGCTGGACTATTACATATGGGGAATGGGTCAGCAGGTGGGGAATCCTACCTCCTCCAGACGACCTGGGCCTCTACATGGTTGAAGGTGATGGTGACATGGGCAGGCTGTCCCTCTACCACATACACGATGTCTGGTTTGTCCAGCACAGCAGGGGCCTCCTCTAGGGGTGGGCCTGGGAGAAGGAGAGCACAGGCTCCATACGGGGCTGATGCTGAGAACTCAACACCCACTGCTCCTCTCTTACCCCAATCATCACCAGAGTTGATGAGGAAGCTGGGGCTCAGAGAGGTTTAGTCTTTTGTGCAGGGAACACAGCCAGGAAGCAGCAGAGCAAGGGCTAGACTACAGCTTGTCTGACCCCAGGGCCTTAGCTTTGTCCCTGGGCCCTGCTGCCACTGATGGGCCAGGATCCCACTCAGCCACACTGTTCCTGCCATGGTTATTTAGTCTCCCCTCAGCCCTGCCCTTGGGAGTCCCCTGCTCACCATGCTCCAGCAGCTGTGTGGGCTCCGATGCGGGTGAGGGCTTGCTGCTGCTCTTGCCAGTGGTGCTGAGGACCCGGAAGACATGCTGGAGCCCCTTCCGCAGCCCTGTGGCCGCCCACCTGGGCTCCCGCAGACCTGTGGCCAGCGCTGTCCACTGGTCTGAGCCCAGCACCTGGTGCTGCACCGTGTATGTCAGGGAGTCTGGGTCTGGAGGGAAGGCAGTTGCTAGAGGCTGATGTCACAGGGTCACTGTGCTTCCTCATCCCGCCCGCTCAGGGTCCTGGAACTCATCCCTGGTCTTCTCTGAGTGCGTGCCTCAGTTTCCCCTGAGGTTTCCTGCCTGCCTCCCACCTGCTCTGCTTTCTCACTGCCTGCGCCAGCCCTAAAGCCATCAAGCTGCCCGTCGCCAACCCCTTCAGATGTGGAGGAAGGGGCCTAGCATTCCACTTGCCCTGGACTTGTATCCAAATCCTTGCTCCCCGAGGTACGGAAACTGACCAGGAAGAGATCCTGGACAAGGGCAGAAAAGAACATGCCCAGGATCAAGACCCAGGAACCTAGTCCCACTGAGAAAGGGCAAGGATGTGGTGATGCCCCACGGCTCCTCTCCTGACCTGGAGCCAGGGCCTCATCCACCATGGAGAGAAGACAGCGGGTGCTCCTGGCTTCACTCCCAGCACTCCATTGCTCCTGCCTCCCACCATGTTCTTGGAGGCCTAGTGTCCTGGATACCCCTGCCTGAGCCTGCCCTGCCCATCCCCAATCCCCACCCAAAGCCCTGCATGGCCCTGACCCACCGATGGCCATGTCCAGGCTCCTGGGGGGGTTCCATGTGAGCGTGACCATCCTCCCCGTCACAGCCACCACCTGCGGGGCACCATCTGGGGGACCTGGAACCACATCTGAAAGCCACAGGTTGGAGGTCCATGGATCTTTCAGGGCCCAAGAGCACCACAGGATCACTGAGCTTCAGGGATTGAGGCTGGGGACCAGGGGCAGGGGCAAGGCCAGAAGATTTCCAGGGAACCAGGGGGAAACTGGTGGAGGCCCCTCCCTCCCTCAGCACCCAGGTGGTACTGGAGGTCTGGCTATGGGTGCAGCTGCTAGGAGGGTGCCTTACCTGTGACATAGAGGTGGGCATAGCAGGCAGCTTTGCCCAGCTTGTTAGCGATGACACTCTTGTAGACACCAGCATGCTGAGGTCCCACCGCAGGGAACACCAGGCGATGTACATCCCTGTCTGGTGGGGGAGGTACAGTGACATGGGGGCTAAGCTAGGAGGATGCTTTGAGGGGTGAACCGCCACCCATTGCAAGGAGGAGGCAAGTGGGGACAGACGGGGAGGCAGAAAGAAGTATGTCCTTCGAGTGGTCGAAGCCAGCAGTGCTAGACCCTCTTATTGCTCTTCATGCCCAGTAATTTCACAGCTTCCTCCCACACTGGGGCACCTTCTGGGGTCCCTCTCCTGTCGGCTGCTTCCTCATTCCTTCACCTCTACTGGGTCACAACCTTCAGGTCAAGGCTCTGACACAGCTTTGCTCCTAGGTTCCTCCTCCAGTCCTCTTCTCCAGCCCCAGGGCAGCTGCCCTTCCACCCATCTCCAGCAGAGCCTGAGGAAAACCCTTCAGTCCAAATTCCCTTCCAGCCGTGTCCCCTGCTACTCCTCCATGTCTTGACCCTGACAGACCATCAGGTCCCTGAACAAGCCACAGGAGCTCCATCTCTATGTTTTTGCTCACAAATTCCTCCCTCTTGGAATGTTCTCCTCGGACCTAAGCCTTTCTTCTCTCTGAGACACAATTCTAGTGAAGCCTACCCTACCATGCCCTGGCTGTCTTCCCTGTGCCATGCCCCAGCTCTCCGTGGCAGGTGGCTGGGTGTGCATCACTGGCCATTGCAGGGCTCTTCCTCTTCACTTCCAGGAGCCATATCGCCTACCCAGTCTGGCCCTTTAAAGACCAGGCTGCTTTTTTCCAGATCTGCTTGTCCCACCCTGAACCCAATGCCTCACATGCAGTAAGTTACAAATACATGTGATATTATGAATTGCAATAAATCATCTACTGGGTGTCCAGCCTTGACATGAAATCCTAATACTTTCAACAACTCTACAAAAATTATCCCATTTACCAATGAGGTCAGAGACATTAATTGACTTGCCCAAGGTCACACAGCTAATAAGTGATGAAGCCGTGGCTTGAACTCAGTTTCATCTCCTCCAAGTCTCTTTCCTTACACTCTGCTCCCTGAGTGTTAAGGAGGCTGTCTCTGGCTAGGACACAGAAATGAGGAGGCTTGCACTGTCCTCCTTCACGTCAGGAATGTCCCCAAACACCCTCCCTTCTCTTAGCGGTTATCTCTGCATAGAACAGTCACCCATTCATTTATCTCTGCTGACACTATTTATAAGGAAAGTGAAGCCAGAGGCTGCCAGTGACCCCAGATTCAGGCAGAAGCAGAGACGCCAGCTCAGATCCTGAGACAGACACCCACCCACGGTCTCCAAGCCGATGGGGAGATAGGAAGGCCTGGGGCTGCGCAGTAATCGCTGCTGGAGGGGACCGAGTGGAAAGGCCAGAGCTGCAGCTGTGGCTCTGGAGATAGGGTGAGGGTAGAGTTGAGAGACTGGGACATGGTGATTGGGAGCATCCTTTAGGAGATGGGCACAAGTCAGGTGGTCCTTACTTGTCTTTGAGCAAGTCTCTGTACCTCTGTAAGCCTCAGTTTCCCCATCTGTAAACAGGGCTTATAGTGCCTGCCTTACAGGCCTGTGGCAAGGTAAGATCATACACATCAGGTCTTGAGCACTCAGCAAGCACTTAGTAAGAGGACTTTGGTCGCTTGTGGCTACAGGAGAAGTCCATCATGGGTGACAGTATAGGCACAACTTAAAGAGGCAGGCAGACCTCGCGTGAGAATCAGGTTCCTTCAAGGATGGAATAAAAGTGCTCCCTGGGGAACACAGCTCAGGCCTAGAGGATGCCAACCCAACATGGCCCTCTGTTTCCCCTGCCTCCTTCTGCCTTGCTTGCTATTTGTTAACAACCCAGGACCAAGCCTCCCTTCCCTGCCAGATGCTGCCTACCCCTGCCCTTTCCTTGAAACTTCTCAGGAAGCATGGGCTTTATCAGGGGCTCCTTTTTGAGGAGCATGGCAGCAAGGGTGCAGCTGGTGAAGGGGAGCAGCTGCAGGGCACGCGCTGTCTGCCCGGCATGGCTCTTAGTGCTTTACACAGACAAGCTGATGTGATTCTAGCAGCACCCCTGTAACAGAGGAGGAGACTGAGGCACAGACGGGTTCGACAATCTGGTCAGTATCAGGCTGGGCTACCTGTTTTAAGTGCTAAAGGTGCCATCAAGGGGTGACTAACAGATGGGCACCGTGTGGGATCAAGAAGGGACACAATGACCTCACAGCCCTGGGGGGCCCCCCTTTGCCAGACACCACATCTCTGGTCGAGCTACAAAAGGGAAGGCCCTGATGAAGGGTGGGCTGATGGGAGGGCCCTGAAAGACAAGAGGGTGCCACAAGGGTCCCTTCCTGGACACATACACTGTGTCATGCGCCGGTCGTCACTGCTCTGGATGCGGTGGCCATTGTGGAACCAGCTGATGGTGGGGTAGGGCAGGCCAGTCACCTGGCACTCTAGCATGGCCTCCTTGGCCAGTCCCACTTCCAGGTCCTGCAGTGGCCGCAGGAAGTCAGGAATGGACAGCCGCTCCAGCTCGCCCTGTTCCGGCTCCTCAGGGATGGACGGCATCTTCTCCAGCTTTGAGCTGTAAGAACCACATGGTTGCCCAGAGGTACAGGGCTGCACCTCCTAGTGCAGGATGGGGGCTCCTGAGAGGCCGAGTTAGCAGCGCTGATAGCACCTGGAGCCCCGGGAGGTACCTGGGGCCTGAGGCGGCTGTCCGAGGCTCCTCCACATACAGCTGGGCCGAGCAGTTAGCCTGGCCGTGGGTGTTGGTCGCACTGACTGCGTAGAGCCCTTCATCCTCGCTGCCCACGTGGGCGATGTGCAGTGAGTGCAGACCTCCTTCCTGCCGCAGCCGCAAGTTCTCACTCTCCTCTACAGGGTGACCTGGAGGTGGGAAGGACAGGAGTGCAGAGCCAGTATAGCAGGGGCCCTGCCTTCTGTATACACTCCATCCTGTTCTGGGCCCTTGGGATCTCCCAATATCTGCATAGGGAGGGGGGTGTGTACCAAAGTGAGTCCAGGTAACGGACGGTGGTGGGGTGCCGCTGATCTTGCAGTCAAGGCGGGCAGCTCGGCCCTCTAGCACCTCCACGTCTTCCAGCAGCCGGGTGAACAGGGGCGCCAGTGAGGGCCGCACGGTCAGCCGGGCGCTGCAGGTCAGTTCATCTGCAGGGGAGAGGCAGCACTGGGCCAGGGAAGGCCACAGAGGCCCAGGCACCCCACCTCAGGGGTCCTGTCCAGCCTTAGGGAACCTGGACAGAGTCCTACAGAATTTCTGGGAACAGGGCTGGGGGCAAGGCAGTGGGCAAAGATCCATTTGCCAGGCTTTCTCAGGAGGTCAGTAAAGAGAGGCAGCAGGCTGCCGTGGCAGGTTGGGGACTCCATAAAAGCCCAGAGCCTGGCCCAGGGCTCCCTCTTACCTCACCCTGCCCGTGCAGGATGAAGGAGTTGGGTTGTGAGAAGGTCCTAAAAGGCAAGTCCACTTCCTCCCCAGCTTCCAACTCTCAGAACTCTCCTCTGTCATCCCACAACTCCCTCCCACCTGTCCCATGCCTAGCAATTGCTGGCATTTAGTAGGTACCCCCAGGCATCCCAGTGCTTTGTTCTAATTTACGTAATCCCTGTAGTCCCCCTAGAAAGTGCGTATTAGCCTGATCCCCTTTTATAGTTGAATAGCCTACAGCTCAAACAGAGGAAGGGACTTGTCCAAAGACACTTGGTTGGGAGCTTGTAGGACAAGAACAGGAGCACAAATCTAGATTTGCTCTCTACATCTCAGCGGACACAGGAACCCTCTGGGTGCCAGGTACTATTCGAAGCTTCACTGTTTTGAGTACTATACTATCTCCTACCCCACCCCACCTCCCCAAGGATATGAGACCCTGTTTCCTAGGGTTTTATTTTGCACCCAGCTCTCTCCCCTCTATCCCCCACACCCAGGTCTGGTGCCCACGGCAGCCCTAGGGCCTGAACAAGTCATTACCTTTGGCTGTGCTGAGCTTGCAAGTGTAGACACCACTGTCGTCCTCATGAACAGAGGTGAGCAGCAGCTTGCATTTGCGGCCATCGAAATGCATCTTGCATTTGAGCAGGGCAGGCTGCAGTAGGCGGCCACGGCACAGCCAGTCCACCTCCACGTCGGCAGGACCTGCCACCAGGCACTCAAACAGCGCCATCTCCCCGGCCCCCACGTTCACGTCCTGCAGGGGGGCCAGCACGGCCAGGGACCGGCTTTCAGGGTGTGCTGGGGGGAAGGTAGCCACAGGGGGCACACACAGAGCAGAGACACACAGGGCGAGGGAGACAAACGCACACACGCACACACAGAGAGACAGACACAGAGAGAGAGATGCATTTTGTTCCTCTGGAGACAGGGAAAGTCCACCCACCCAGCCAGGACAGCAAGGAGCTCCTAGACCTGGCTTTGAGATGGCCACCCAGGTTGGCCCAGGGAGGGAAAAGTCACGAAAGGCAAGAGGGAATCAAGAGGGGAACCAAAGGGCCATGTGGTGGCAGTGACGGCGGCAGAAAAGAAAACGCGGCACACCAACTGGGTACAAACTGGATTTTATTTGAGCTAAGAAATAGTGTTTCCAAATACCTCCACCCCAGCAAATGGCCCTGCTCCTGTGCCACGCTTGGCTAACTCCCTCATTCCCAGACAGAGCACCCCCACCCTGACTGTGAATGAGGGAGTCCCCACTGGGCCCTACACCTACCAGAGCCAGGGCTCAGCCCCGGGCCTCTGATTTTTGGTCTCTTGTAGAATAGAAAGTGTCGTGCCATTGAAACCCATTTCTGGAATGGTCAGTGCCCTGCCCCACTCCTTGTGAGCCTCCTGTCCACACCCCTGCCCCTCGGGGCCCTCCCTGCCATGTCTTGTCCTTTCCTGTTCTGTCTCATCCCACTCCAGCTCAGAGGTATCTTTCCCTGACTGTCACAGACACACAGACAAACAAACAGATGGACAGACAAAGGCCTGTAGCAGCGTAGCACATGCATTCACTTGGTGGTCCCCATGGGAAGAGTGTGGGAGGATTGATAACCCTCATGCCCCACCTTCCCAGCACTCAGTCCATCTGGGGGCCTCCTGGCCTGCACAGCCACTTGGGGAGGGAGGGTCCCCAGGGGCCCAGGGGCTACCCCAGGGTGCTGCATTGGCTGGGGAGGGGAGGGGAGGCTGGGATGGGTCCAGGCCAGCAGGCCGGCTGGGTCTGTGGGCAGGAGGCAGTGAAACACAGCGAGGTCCGAGAGGTGCCTGAGACAGGGGCGCAGCTCGGAGGGTAGCGGCGGGGAGCGCAGGCGGCCCCCTGAGCTCACTCGCCTGTGTACAGACAAAAACCTCAGTCAGCAAGCGGCAGGTTAGTGCAGCACACCACACACACACACACACACACACACACACGCACACGCACAGACCTGGCTAGGGCCCTTCTAGATATGGAGCTGCCTCTAACACTGTAGGGAGCATTGCCATGTTCAGCTCCCCCAAGGGCAGCCCAGGGTGGGAGGGCCAGAGGCTACCCAGAGGCCAAGTTCCCAGGGTTCCTGGGCAGGCAGAGACCCTGAGCAGCCAAGGGAGAGGCATTCACAGGCATCAGGAACACCCCAAAGCCTACAGGATGTTAGGGAGGAATCCCAAAGAGAGAGGCACCAAGACATGGGTTAACACAGAGAAGCGAGGCAGGGCCAGACCCTGGAGAAGGAGCAGGCCAGGGAAGGGGGCACTGAAGAATTTAGAAACCAAACAGGTGGCAGCCATAGGAATGAAAGGCACCAGGGAGGGTGAGGAGGTAAGGCTGGCAGCGGGGCAATGACCGATAGAGTCTGGGCTCCATGCCTGGGGGTATCTCGGGGCATTCCCAAAGGTGGCCTCTGCCGGGCTGGAAGGGACTGAGCTTGTAGGTAAGAGGGACAATGGCTGAGTAAGGACTAAGGAGAGGTTGCTGGTCGTGAGCCATCATAGGACATGGTGAGGTGGGAGGCTGGGTAAACCGCAACCCAGGGAAGGAAAGCAACTGCCTTTGGAGGGCAGCCTGGCTAGGACCTGTCTGCACAGCCCCAGATGCCCCTGCCTTATGTCTTCAACTCTGGGGGCCCATCCTGGCACCCCTGGGGTCCCAGCAATGCACCAGGCCTAAGTCACATCAAGGGCCCCTCCGAACGGGTCCAGACGTCAGACTCTCCCCACTGCTACCCTCAACCACAAGAGCTTCTGCACAGCAATGGGGCAAGGAGGGAGAGCAAAGGGGAAGAGATCAGAGAGGGTGTGAGGGAGAGGACTGGGCAGAGCATACGACATAGGCTCAGAAGAACACGGAGGGAGGGTGGCCAGTTGCAAGAAGCAGGGTCTCTGGCTAACGTCAGGGGCTGTCATGATGGAAACTGGGGAAGGCAGAACTGTGTGGCAAGCTGAGAGTGGAACAATTTGTTGTGTGACCTTGGGCAAGTTGTTTCTTCTCTCTGGGTCTCAGTTTACTCAACTACAATATAAGCAGCCAGACTAGGGGACCTCCACAGCCCTTTCAGTGTGGCATCCTGTAACTGAGACTATGTGAAATCTGTCAGCAGAGGGGACAGGACCAGGTTGGGGCTTCATCAGAGTGTGGGGCTCTCACCTCGGACCTCCAGGCGGGCCTCACACTGCCGGGCGCCATACTCATTGACGGCTTTGCAGGTGTAGAAGCCAGCGTCGCCCCGCTCGGCAGCCAGGATCCGCAGCCGGCACAGCCCACCCTCAGCCTCCTCTGCAAAGCGTCTCTGGTCTGGGCGCACAGGCTGGCGGTTTCTTAGCCTGAAACAGGGGTTACAACTCAGTCCCAGAGCCCAAGGTCCTCTGCATGCTCAGCAAAGTAGGGCTGCAGAGAAGCACAGGCCTCTTCTCCCCTACCCTGTTCATCTGCTCCCCAAAACTGTCCCAGTGATCACAGACACCCCTGGATTCCAGGACAAGGTTTTCACTTTGATTCTACCTTCCCACCTGCTCCAAGAACTTCCAGACAATCTTAATCCACCTGGATCTCTCCCTTCTCCAAACTCACTTCATTTGGAATAGAGACATGCAATTTAGTAGGTTTTTGTGTTTGTTTTTGTTTTGCAATACTAGGAATTGATCCCAGAGATTCACATTTCATAGGCAAGCACTCTACTACTGAGCTATATCCCCAGTCCTTTCTGTTTTGGGGGGTACCAGGGACTGAACCCAGGGGTGCTTAACCACTGAGCCACATCCCCAGCCCTTTTTTATATTTTATTTAGAAACAGGTCTCACTGAGTTGCTTAGGGTCTTGCTAAGTTGCTGAGGCTGGCTTTGAACTCTTAATCCTCCTGCCTTGGCCTCCTGAGCTGTTGGGATTATAGGGATATGCCACAGGGCACAGCCCCAATACTTTCTTAAATTTTATTTTGAAGCATGGTCTCTCTAAATTGCTAAGACTACCCTCAAATTTGAGATCCTCCTGCCTAAGCTTCCCAAGTAGCTGGGATTGCAGGCATGCGCCATCAACTTGGCTTATTTAGCTCTCAGTATTCCTTAAATTTCCCTGTGTCTTATTTTTATTTTTCCAGAAAGATAGCTCTCCCACTTCCCAAAAGGGATGTGAAAGAACTTAAACGTTCTAAAAAATCACAGAGGAAATCAGCCGATCAATTAAAAATGAAAAATAGAACCGAAAACCAATAGAAAAACATGCTGAGTAATGACTGTTCCAGGCATCCCAGCTGAGACCCACATTTAACTCTGGGTTTGGGCAGTTCAGAAACAAATTGTGATGACTGGGTCAAGCCCAGGGCTGGGTAGAGAATGAGCCTCAAAAGTAACCCTACCAGGGCTGGGGTTGTGGCTCAGTGGAAGAGCGCTCACCTAGTACATGTGAGGCCCTGGGTTCGATCCTCAGCACCACATAAAAATAAAATAAAGGTATTAAAAAAAGTTACCATCAACTGATGGGGTAAGGGTGGAAAGCCTTCTTTCAGGGCTGAGGACTCTCCATTTGTCTCAAGTGGGAAGACATGAAACCATTCATTATTCAAATCTCTCCCCAAAAGGGGAAGCCCAAATAATCCTGGAGCACCAGGACAAGGGGCAGGGTGTGCTGGCGAGTAGTACCGCTGCACCTAGACCAACACCTGGGGAAGGCCCCTCAGGTATCACTCCCTTCCTCCAAAGCCAGCTCACAGGGCCCAGACCTGTGAGTGGCTGCTACTCACCAGGAGACCACAGGCTTTGGCTCCCCCTGCACACGGATGCTCATGATGACATCTTGGCCTTCTCGTACTGACTGGTCCATGAGTGAGACCTAAAGGGGAACTCCAAAGTGTCAGGGATGACAGTCAGGGCATAGCAGTGACTCCTGGGGACTGGGAGATCTGGGACAGTGGTCTCTTCCATACCAATCTGACTGAGGCTGGTTAAGAAGGGTTAATGGGGCAAAGTTCTAGGTCCTCCTGAAGAACAAAGGGGACACAAAGGGATGGAGGTCCATACAGACCTGGACCAGGAATCTGACCTTGAAGGTGGGGGGTGCCTTGGAGCCAGTGTCAGAGGAACGGTGGTTCTGGCTGGGGCTGAGCTTCATGGTGGGGGTTCCGGGCCAGGTCTCCCCAGGCTCTGGGAACTCCTCTGGGGGACTCAGGTACTCCTCGTCAGAAGTGATGGGACTGCTGAAAGGGGATGTGGACCCTCCTGGAAGAGAGACAGAAGGGATGCCAGGAGAGGGAGGAGGCAGAGAGACAGCTGGCTGGAAATGTCCCCAGAGCCTGGTTGAGGCCATTCCTGTGGGCCCTGCCCTGACTTCACTCCTGGTCTCTGGGGGTTTGCTGTGCCCAAGCACTTCCTCTCCCTGAGCTCCTGATTCCTCCCCTGCTAGACTCTGCCCCAAGACCAAACCCCCTGGGAGGGGACTCATTGGAAATGGCCTGATGCAAAGGATTCAGCCAACAGAGGGGCTGCTCCTGTGCCTTGGGGTAGACCCAGAATTCCACTGGAGCAGGGGATCCATATCCTGACATAGAGTAGGGGCTCAAATTACCAATCATATGCTTTAAAAGCAGGTGGTGTTGGCCTCTGGGACCCCACAGCAGCAAAGCCAAGACACTTACTTCTTAGGTGAGCTGGGCTTGGAACAGAGGAACACACACCCCAGACAAGCCCTATCCTGACCTCGGTCCAGGGCCAATGAGATGGCACTGTCCAGTCTGCCCTTCCCCCTCCCTTCTCAGCTTCCTGCCACAGAAACCCCAGGGGCACCTGTTAGCCCCAGCTCTAGAGCATGGGGACCCCAAATCTCTCAGGGGGTGGGAAAGCAGAGTCAGAGTCATCCACAGAAAAGGGCAGCTCAGCCTAGGGAAGAGCAGGGGGACTTGAGTCTGCCTTGGGGGAGGGGTGTCCCCAGGGCCCTGACGCCCTCCCCCGCAACTGGCTGGGGGCCCAGCCTCCCTGAGCTGGCTTCTACCCGACTGCCAAATACAGACATGAATCTGCCACAGCCCCCTGGCCCCTCCTCCTGGTTCCCCTAACCCAAGCCCCCAGCAGGGCTGCACCCCAACTCACCCTGAGACCGCACACGGACCTCAGCCTGCACCTTTCCGAAGGCTCTGTCCTGGCACCAGGCCCTCCTGCTGCTTGCCCACTGCCCACCCTGCCTTGGCTCCCCAGGGAGCAGGAGCCCAGCCTGCCCAGTCCCACTCACTTGGTGGACCCTGGGGAGGCCCAGCACTGAGCTGCCCCTGGGGGAGGGGCAGGAGCCTGGAGGAGTACAGAGAAGGTGGGGGTGGCCAGCAAGAGGCTGGGTGGCTGGCAAGCAGGCTGGGCTGGGAAGGTGGTGGGCTGGGAAGGTGGCGCCTGCTGAGCACACAGGCAGCCTGTCCTGGAGTGGAAGGGGAAGAGAGGGAGGGGCAGAGCCAGCCCAGCTGAATTTAGCTGCCTGCTCATTCCCAAGCAGCGCTCTGCCTTTCCTCTCCTTACAGCTCTGGACACTGACAAGAGCAGAGCCCCTCAGCGGGGCTGGACTCTAGGCATGGGGGCCTCTGTCCCCAGAGGAAGATGGGGTGGGGAGGCACCACACTGTGGCATTCAAGACCTTTGTGTGATCCATTAATGTTGACAAGTCCACCAAAGAAGGTGCCGATGGCAATGGCCCTGTGCTGCCCCTTTTGCTGACCAAACCACCAGGCTCGCCAGCCTGGGAAGATACTGATCAGCCTCCAATACTGAAGAGCCAGGCCATGCCCTGCTTTCTCTGGCACGGAGGATCACAGAACTGTGAGATCTTCACCTTCCTTCCCAGAGATGTCCCTCCCAACTTGAGGGGTCCCAGAGCCCCATCTCCATCTCGCCAGTACTGCCATAGCAGGTCAGCCCAGCAGCCACCCCAGGGCACAGGCCTGCACTCAGTCCTCATGGCAGGCTCTTCTGGGACACTTATTGGCAACCTAACTTTACCCATCAGCCTCACCAGGGCCAAGGATGAGGAGAGTGGGGGCTACTTTCCCCAACAGCCCTTTAACTAGTACCCATTTACATCTGGGTTGGGGAAGGGACTTGGAAACTGAGCAAGAGAGAAGGGGTTGTTAAGCTGGGGCCACATGTCCTTCCTCCTATCTCCTCACCCCCGCCCAGAGCCACATTCTCAAGCTATGACCTGTGTTTCCCAGCATTGCCAATGAGGAAGGAGGGGCCACCATTCAGGCTGGCTGTCTTGAGGTAGGGGGTGGGGGTGTTCAGAATGGCACTTGGTGCCAAAGGCTCCCAGCTGACACTGAGATCATAGGCACCATCCCTGGAGGTGGATGCCTATCTCCCCTCCATGGAGTTGGGAGTCCTGATCCAGGGTCACCTCCCTGATGGACAGTGCTATGGTGCCTCCCAGGGAAGAGGGAGATTTGTGCTGGATTGGTGAGGTTTGCAGGGGCTTTAGCGACCCCTGGTGGTCTCTGGAGGAACAGTACCAGGGGGCATCCAGCCAGAGTGAGCTGCAGTCCTCAAGCCCCTCCCAGAGGGGAGGTGGCCCAGGCAGGAGGCTCAAACACCAGAGAAGCACAACTAGGCCTCTTTGAGAGAAGATAGTGGTCTCTGCCCTGACATACCCCCAAACTGCATGGCCAAAGAGACGGATGGAGGATCCTGGAGCTCCACATCATGTTCAGGTACCAGATGTCATGGCCTTATGGTCCAAACCACCTTTGTGGCCAGTCCCTAACATTCCAGCTGTGCTCTACCCACAAGCCCAGCTCTCACTGTGGGAGACATAGTTACACTAGCCAGGAAGTAGGAAGCAGGTGCCCCCACACCCTGCCAAATCGCAGAGGCACATACACTCAGCATGCCATGGAAGGACTACCCCTTCACATTTGCCCTCCACCCCCTGTGCTGACCCTAGGCCCATATCTGCCTTTCCAACACAACCCCTGGGTCAAACACTTCATGAAAACACTGGTGTTGGGTAACCCACAAATCAGGGAACTGTCCCTCCCCAGACCAGAGCATTCTGCTGGTCCCAACATCCCAAGAGTTTCTAATGTCCCCTGCTATAGTCTCCCCACAGAGATGGTTGAGCCACCACCGCCAGTATCCAGCACATGAAAGGCATTACACAAGGCCTTTATCTCAGAACGATCCTTGAGCCACCCACACCAGGACCACCTGGGAGCTTATTTTGAAATAAATTCCTGGGCCTTTCCCAGCCTATAAAATTAGATTTTCTGAAATGGGAAGTCAAAAAACCACATTTTTCAAAAACACTCCAGGTGATTCTTATGCACATGAAAGTGTAGGGACCACTGCCAACCCTCATGGGAGGAGGACAACCCTAGGAGGTAGTTTCAATAAGTCCTAGCAAACTTGGCCATCCAACTTCAGAGCAGGGCTTTGAACAGATAAGGTCTGACTCCACAGTCCACACACTTCCCACCGCACCAGTTGGCCTCTCATCTTAAGCCAGTGCATGCCCACCTGCCCCCTCCCTCCCTCCCTGTCTCTCTCTCTCTCCCTGGTGTGCTTTTTGTTTGTTTTTTTGTACCAGGGATTGAACCCAGGGGCACTTAATCACTGAGCCCACCCCCAGCCCTTTTTATTTTTTATTTGGAGACAGGGTCTTGCTAAGTTGCTGGCTTTGAATTTGAGATCCTCCTGCCTCGGCCTCCTGAGCCACTGGGAATATAGGCACGCGCCACTGTGCCCAGCTTGGTAGTGGGTTCCAAAGTTTACTGTGCACTTGAATCACCTGGAGGGTTCCCTAGACTGGGGAATTGGGCTGCTGGGACCTTCCCCCAGTTTTGAATTCAGTAGGTCTGGTTTGGGGCAAATAGTTTGCATTTATTAACACATTCCCAAAGGGATGTTGATGCTGCTGGTCTGGGGACCATACTTTGAGAATTCTGCCATCACAAGCACCACTCTTAGGCAGAGTCTCATTACCCCCTGCAGCTGTATGTCCTGTCCAACCTCTGTGTATTACCCAGGGCTTGGAGTTTCTTGGGCTCTCGGTCCCCCACTGCTGCCTCACACTCAATCCTTGTGGTCTACACAGTCCCCAGCTGCCCAGAAGTGACTCCTAGTGTGGCGTCAAGGGCTAAGGAGTAGAGAAGGCATGGTCATGTCCTCAGGTGCCTTTGGCTGGTAGGGAAGACAAGCCAGATACATAGATGACTAGAATAGCAAGCAGGAAAGAATGACGAGATGGCAAGCGGGGAGTAGATAAGAACCACAAGAGTACAGACAGCTGGTGATGACTTTTGGCTCAGGGAGAAAGAAGCAACTGAGAGCAGAGGTGGTATTGAATTAGAGCTTGGTTTAAGCAGGGAAAAGGGAAAAGCAGTCCATGAAGATGAACCTGCATGAACAAATGTTCAGAGGAAAAATGTACAGGCACAGAGGCCGGTAGCTCAACTGATGACAGAGATGGGTGAAGAAGTAAAAAGTGGGCATCAGATCATGAAAGCAGGTACCTCTTGCTGCCTCCTCTTTTGGAGCATCCTTAGGCTTTTGGCCTCTATGGATCCAGAAGGTGGATGCCAGCTTAAGGCATGTGGCCTTTACTCTCAAGGCCAAGACAAGCTCTTATGATTTTTGAGGAAGGGAGGAACGTGTTGGAGGTTGGCCAGCATTCCTATCAGCCTGGCCTTGCAAACCCTGTCCTCTACCTGTGGTTAGTAGATCCCCACAGGCTTTTCTTCTTCTGTATTTCCTTCTCCTTCCTCTCTTTTTTTTTTGTGGGGGGTGCACTGGGGATTGAACTGAGGGTACTCTACCACCAAGCTACATCCCCCGCCCTTTTTTATTTTTCATTTTGAGACAGGCTCTTACTAGTTTCCCAGGCTGGCTACGAACTTGTGATCCCCTGCCTCAGCCTCCTGAGTCACTGGGATTACAGGTATGCGCCATCACACCCAGGCTCCATGGGCCTCTCTTGAAATAGCTGCTAAGTGATCCCACCACAGGAAAGTGAGGGGAAAGGAGGATGCGGGCTGCCAAGAGGTAGGAATTTCCAGAGGGTGCTGACATGACTGTCTCCCCTGGACAAGGAGAAGGGTTAGGCTGAGAGTGTTTCATGTTTGGTTTAAAGTGTATTAAGTACTAGAGGAAATTTCACATGGTTAGCCTGACCTATCCAGGCAAGTGTTGAATTTCTCACATATAACTACATTGGGTTGTTCCAGGTTAGATAAAGGGTTTGCACTCATGGTAAATTAGGTTTCTGTCGTTGAGACAGGCTGAGAGCACTCAACTGCATTCTAGGTAAGAGTCCTGGGGAGTCGTCCATGGAGTATACCTGCTGCTGACAGATAGGAGATGGGAGGAGGGACTGAGTCTGGTTGAATGAACCATGCCACCTTGCTTTTTCAGGTATTGTCCAGACCCCCATCCTAATGGACAACACGGGTCATGTGGCTTTCCAAGATTCCCTCCATCTGCAGCCACTGTCATCACCAGGAAGACCCTGCAACTATGTAGCTGTGGCCAGGGACCTAAGGCAGAGGAAAAGGGGTGTAGAATTTGGTGATATGATTTTCTTCCTTGCCTTTGCATTCATGGCTGCCAATAAACAGCCTCTTTCCTGTTGTGATACTGCTGATCATATGAGCAAGACCAGAAGGAGTCTTGACAAGCCACATCCCAAGTCCAAACGTCTGCAGCCAACTCATCCTCCTCACACAGCTCGGAGTCTTTTTGAGCATATAGCCCATGAGTCAGGATGATCCTCATTTTACAGATAAGAAAGTTGCAGCCAAGGTAAAGGGAAAAGGCCAAAGGCTTGAGTAGAAAATGCTACAGCCTTGGGCTCAAACACATGAGACCTGTGCCTGAGCAGGGGGCTGCAGGCTGTGGGATGGAGGCCCGGCACCAGAAAGGCCTCCTGTCAGAGCCCACAGTGGGGCAGAGCCAGGTGTGCTCCCTCCAGGCACAAGAGGAAACAAACAGGACCACAGCCATGATGGAGGCATGGAATCAACAAAAGAAGCTGAGAAAACCCCCAATCTGACCCACCCACAGAGGCCTGAGCTGCCCCTCTGCACAAGCCCTAACCCTGAACCTCTTCAGAGTAAAAGGAAAGTGGGCAGTGTAGTGGTTAGGAGTGTCTACTTGAGAAACCCTGAGAAGGCATTTTAAAGCATGTCTCAAGCCTCCAACTGGCCTGGTGCACCTAGGACTCAGTATCCAACAAGGACACTGAAACTATCAAAATGCAGTCAATAAAAATGATAGTTACGAAAACCCCAGTTCTAGCTAAAGGTGTGGCCCAGTGGTAGAGCACTTGCCTATCACATGTGAGGCCCTGGGTTCAATCCCTAGCTCCTCCCCACCAAAAAAAATTCAGTTCCTCAGTTGGACCAGCTGAATTTCAAACACTCAACAGCCACATGTGGCTAGTGGCCACCACACTGGACAGGGCAGATACCGAACACTTCCACTATCATGGAAAGGTGTATCAATCAGCACTGGCCTAAAGCAACTTGCAGTAGCTTTCCCAGTCTCAGTTTCCTCATCTGTAACCTGGGCATAATAATAGAACCCACCTCACAGGGATGGACTGAATATGATTACCCAATCAACAGTGCTCAGTAAATGCTAATTAGGGATATTATTTTTTATCTGCTGTTCATGCTAAGTTTATTTGTTTCTACTCTAAGTCTCTTATCATTTATAACAATCCCAGGCAGACCATGGAAGCTCAATAAAGGCTGCTGGACTAGTGTTAGCTTTGTCACTAGAGTCTCCATGTATTTGTCTCTCCATCTGTAAAATGGAAATATCAACATCTGTAAAATGTCATGGTCCCTTCAAAAGATATATATACATACATACATACACACACACATACACACATACATATATTTTATCTCAACATAAATCAATGAAAAAGACATGAAAGGATTTGGGAAAAGGACATGGCACTCTATAAATTCTGGTGTGCTGGATGCAGCAGCAGCAGTACTTCTCACACTCACCAGCCACCCATCCCCATCCACTCCCCAGCTTTGAGACAGTTATTCCAAGGGTGGGAGGGGCATAGGGCTGGGGAGGAGCAGCCAGAGCTGGTAACACCAGGTCCTGCCTGCACAGAGCCTGCCCCCCAAACTAGGCTGCATTTTCTAGTTGCCCATTCCCTAGTTACTGTGGTTCCTAAACAGGAATAAAATCTGTGGGCTCTCAAAAGCAGGCCCTGCTGGGGTGGGCACCCCAGGAGCACACTGGGCAGCCAGCCCTGGTTTCCATGGCATTGGGTGTGGGGGTGGGGAAGTAGTAAGAGAGGACAGTGGCTCTGTACAGGGCCTCTTCCCACAAGACACTACCCACTCCCTCCCTCCACCTGCTCCCCACGCCCCCACAGCCAGACACTCCCCCCCCCCCGCAGCCCGAACCACTGCCTACAGACTCTAGGCCTGAGACCCCCTCCCTTGTCAAATATCTGTGCCACCACTGGTTCCACCCACTCGGGCGGCTCTCTGGATCCACTGGCCCCCATCCAGCTACTCTGGACCAAACAGTGCCTTGTAGGGTAAGAAAGTCAGCTTGCTCTATTACAATCAGCGACGATGCTGGACCAGCGCGCCAGCCCCTTGGACCCAGGGGCCCTGGAGCCAGTCTGACTTATGGGGCTGCTCATAAAGCCTGGTACAACCAACTTCTGTGCTGAAGATTTGCTGGCTCCCCAGGGCAGAGGAGAAACAAAGATGCAGCAACAGTCTGAGAATCCAGGGGCTGGGAAATAGGGAGGGTCCAGGGGGTTACGAGGTTTGCAAGGCAGAAGTGGAGTCCCAAAGCCCCAGGCAGTCTGAAGAAAGGGACAGACAGGAAAGGGTAAGGTGCTCCCCAGGTCCTCCTGGAAAGCTGAGTTAGTGTGCACAACACCATCCCTGAACGCTAACAACTAACATTTGTCTACAGCTTTACAGTTCATAAAGCTCGTTCGCACATTCGCTTTCATCCGTGAGGATGGTATAATTATCTCTGGTTTACAAATGAGGAAACTGAAGCTCGGGGAGATTCAATGTGGCAAACACAGAACTCCCTGTCAAGTGCTGACAGCTGCCGTGCCCCAAGCCGCCTTCCCAACCTTAAAAGGCTCCCAAATGGCTCTTAGCCCATATACAGGCACCCCCACCCTACCCCTTGCCATTTCTCAGCCCAAGCCAGGTATTGACTGGAGTCCTGGAGCCAGGCCTGGGCCCCCTAAGGGGACCTGGGAGCTGAGTCAGAGGCCAGATCCCAGAGGTGATGGGAGGACGGAAACATGTAGTGGAGGGATGGGTATGATTCATCAAGGTGGGAGGGATAAGAAGAGGCAGCGAGCCTTGAACATGGCTCCTGGGAGGGACACGGAGGTGAAACAAGATGAGGACCTGCTGCTCCACAAAGACATAAGGTGCTATCAAAGGAGCTAACATGGCACAGCTGCGGTGCCAGACCCCACCAAGAGCTCCTGCATTTTGAAAGTGCTAACGCCCTGGGACCAGGCACACGGGCTGGGCTGTCATCTGCTGTCCTGTAGCACTGAGTGGAAGAAAGGCACAGAACAGCATGTGCTGTTCCCCCTCCTGGCATGTCCTGCCCCTCCTTCTGCAGTCTAAACCCCGCCTCCTCCAGGCTCTCCTGTCTCAGTGCAAATATCCTAGAACACTGACCACTGCTAGACTCGTCTCCAAACTGAATTCGTCTATGCCTAGAGGCCCTCCAGCCCAGGTCCTCTGAGCTAGATTTGGACACCCAATGGTAATCCCCTTGATTGCAGGTTGAGTCTCTGTCTTTTCCTTCTGTGACAACCCCTAGCATCCTCCCCTCTCTCTGCCCCACTATGCAGGGTCAGTGCATTGTCAGGCCCAGCCACCTGAACGAACAGAACTGGCCACATACACTGACACCAGTCCAGCCCTGCCTGAGCCAGAAAGAAACTGGACTGAAACCCAAAGGAAGTAGTCTGACACCAAGTGAGAGCTTCTATAAAAATAGAAATCAAGGCAGCTCCATACTGCCATCCTGAAGGTGTTCTTAGCTGCACCTTCTTTAAGGTTTGGGGTTCAACAGGAAGCAGGGACACTTGAAAGCCCCTCTTTTTACAGGGTTGGGGCTTTCCTATAGAAAAAAATAACATAAAAAGCTCCTGGTGGATCTTAAGCCCTCTGGGCTGAGAGATTCTTTTTCTCAGACTCAAAGACAATTTGCCTTCCCCACAGGACCCTGTTCAGGGAATTGGCCGGGGAAGTGGGTGGTTACAGGATGTCTAAAGACACATTTTACTAACTTCATGAATTGACCAGCCTGGTGCCTGTCCTGGGAATTTGATCCTTGCCCTAAGGACGGGACCATTTTAAATGCTTTCTCCAGAGAGGCCCACAGAGAAGGGACTCTGCAAGATGACTGAGCCCAAGCACTCTCATTTGCAAGTGGGAAAGGAGCTTGGGCCCATGGCCTCACATCCGCTAGGAAGGAAGGATCACAGCTCACCCCCCACCCACCCCTGGGTTTGGCGGGCTTCCTACCAGGTCTCACAGCCAGTGAGGCAGCACAGCTGGCCTGGCCCAGCTCGTTGATGGCAGTGGCCACATAGCTCCCCGCGTCAGCCTCCTGGGCCTCCCTGAGCAGCAGAGTGTGCCTCTCGCCCTCAGCCCGGATGAGAAGGCGGCCCTCACTGTGCAGCGTGGACCCATCCTTGAGCCAGGACACTGTGGGGAAGCAACGAGAACCAACTCACTACGGCCAGAAGCTCACTGGGGAAACCTCACTCCACCCCTCCCACACAAAGGTTCAAACCATTCCTTGTTCTGCCTGTGGGGAATTCAGAGGAGTCTGCCCTCACTCCAGAAGCCCAGGCTGTCCTTTTCTCTCTAGGGAGTCCTGAGCCATCTCCCTGAAGACAGGCAGCTCCATGCAGTGGATAACTCCTCTCCTCCCACCCACCCCCTCAGAGGATTCTAGGGGAGGCTCCCTCTCCCTGTCCCACGTGCTCTGCACCTCAAGACCTGAAGCTTACCTTGGGGTGGGGGGTTGGCGGTGATGATACACTTAAGCAGTACATCAGCCCCTGGGGCCACCACCGCGTTCTGCAGGGGAATCTCAAACACTGGGGCCTCCAGGGGTTCTTCTCCAGCAGACACATAAGAGTCATCCGAAGACTCTGCAGACAAAGGGGTGACATGAGTGATGAGAGGGATGTGATCCCTGTGGAAATGACTTGGGGAGAAAGCATGTTGGCAGCCCTGTGTCTTGGAAAGTACCAAAACCCAGAGATCAGGGCTTCTGGAAGGGATTAAGGTCTCTTTACTGAAAGTCCTAAGATAGAGAAAAGAAAATTTCAGAAGGAAGGTTCTTCACCAGGACAGGGTAGCTGAGACCACAGTTAGTGTTGGTTTCTGGAGGAAGGTGGGGATGTGCTGTGACAGGCACCTTCACAAGAACTGTTCATCACATGTGGCACAGCAGACCCTGTGCAAGGCACTCCAAGGGGACACAAGACTATATAAGCTCGAAATGGACAGAGGACAAGCTACCAGCAAACCAAGACGGAGCAGCAACAATAGCTACAAAAGGTAATATGTGGGAAATTGTCACATTTGTGAGGCCACCATATGACAAACAGGGAGCTGCAGGGGGATTGGATGGGCCTCAGAGGATCAGCTTCCATTCCTCCTTCACCAGACAGTAACACTGCACTCACTACATTGCACACTGATGGGTACCCAGAATATAACAGGAAATAAGATGTGATCCCTGCTTATATAAAAAGAGACTACGCTGTCATGGTTCTTTCTGGGTATTTTCCAACTCTGACATTCTATGAGCTAGATAGAGGACAACGTAGGCAGCTAAAAGGGCTGCGAAGATCCCAATTTTGCTGTTTTCTAACTATATCATCTTGGGCAAATGAGATAATCTTTGAGTCTCAGTTATGTTATCTGGAAGATGGAGGGATAACATGCAATACTCTGCAGAGCTGGCAAACAGACTAAATGAGATAACATCCTTATGGGCCTAGTTAACACAACACCTGGGACATAGTGGGTATATAATAATGGTTGTCAGTAGGATGATGGACTGGAGCATAATCATCTCTAAAGATTCTGAGGTGGTAACACTTAAATACAAAATAAATTTGATGAAGAAAAATACAGGGTGATAAACACAATAAGAAAGATACTGGCAGGGTCTCCTAGATACAGTGTGGAAAAGCAGTAGGGAGTGGGAGCAAGTCAAGGATAGCTCCCTCTGCCTCTCCAGAAGTGGGCCCCAAGTTGCTGTTCAGGATGGGCAGGGTTAGGGGCAGCAGCACTTGTCCTTGATGTTGCTCATCACTCACAGAAAGGCAGGAAGACAACACAAAAACAAGTGTGTGTAGGGAACAGTTAGTTTAGCAATGCAGGACGTGAGTATGGGAGAAAGGAGGTTGGATAAGACCTTAGCAGCCACAGATGGGCCGCAATGCTTGCCTGTAACAGGAATTTGAGACCAACTACCCTCTCTTCCCCCATAGAGGAATGGAGGTTGCTGAGCACTGCTTAGGTTCTCGCCAGTGCCTCTTCTCATTGTGGGTCCTTGACCCAACAACCGAGGAGGCCACTGGACTTCTGTGAACTTATGGCAGGTATGTGGGCACCAGCCTTTGCTCACCCTGGTATCCAAACACACTCACACTCCTAACTCACCAATGGTAAGATCTAGCACAGGACCTTCACAGTCTGTCACTCAAACCCGAGCCTGTGTCAGTATGTTCTCTGGCAAACAGCACCCTCATAGCAGCCTACTAGCCCCAAGCAAGGCCCTCCCTACTGCCAGGCAGTCTCGTTGCTCCCAAATCCCCTCCCAGCCAGGTCTGGGCACCTTTCCAACCCTTTCAGCAGCCTTACCGAGCTCAGGAGAGGTGGGTCGGACCCTGCGACCTTTGCCCTGGCTGCGGGGTCCTCTTCGGTCCCAAGCCCCCCAGGGACCATCCTCCTCTGGTCCTCTGCGCAGCCTCTTCTCGGCCTCAGGCCCTGCCCTGTTCTTCTCCAAGGTTTGGGGCACAGCAGCGCCCTCCAGGGCCGGTGTGGCCCAGGGCAGAAAGCGCACTGCCTGCGCTGGGGGCTCCCGCTTCCGACCCGAGGGGGCTTTCGTCCGGGCCTCCGGGAGATCAGCATTGTGGGGCGGCACAGGGCTCCTGCACTCCTGTATGGCTCTGCCCCTGGTGAGTGGGAACTGATCCCGACGACGCCTAACCTCCTGCTGTGGGCCTTCCCCAGGCTCTGTCCTGCCCAAAGGGCCACGGCTTCTGGGCCTCCCAGGCTCTTCTACAGACTTGCCCACAATACTGGGAAGAGGAGGCTGAGTGACGGCAGGGCTCACAGCCCGTGGGGTCTTGGGGGTAGAGGGCCGGGAGAAGAGTGGGGGTTCTCCAGGTTCTCGAGGGGATGGGGCGCGCTGCAGGGTGGCACGCAGGGACTCATGGGAGCGCACCAGTTCCTCCCGCGAAGTGGAGCGGCGAATGCGGCCCAGCTCCTGAGCAAAGCGCAGCTCGAGATCAGAGGCAGGGCTGCGCTGTCGTGTGCGTTCATCCAGCGAGGCCGCCTTCTGCTGGAACAGGCGGCGCCGCTCGACCACACTGCCCTGTGGTGCCTGCAGCTCCTCCTGAGAGGCCCCAGGTATGCCCCACGCAGCGTCGCCTTCGGACTTGGGCTGTTCCAGGGAGCGGGCCTTGCGTAGGGGGACCCAGGGCCGCAGGGGCGCTGGGGGCGAGTCGCTGCGCTCCAGGCTGCGACGTCGCTCCTCAAAAAACTGCAACTTGTCCAGGATGCGGGAGCCGGCTCGCACCAACCTCGGTGAGCGGCCCAGCGCCGACAGGCGACCTGAGGCCTCACTCAGTGGCGTCTGGGGCCGGGACTCTGTCGTACCCGCCAGCGAGGGCCCAGACGACTTGGACTTTTTGCCTCGTTTCTCTTCCGCGGTGGCGTCCTCCGGTAGCTCAGGCTCTTGAGTGCGCCGATGGAGCGATGTGGGGGTGGCTGGGGGCTGGGCGCTGGGTCCTGGAGGAGCCCTCTTACCCACCCTAGGGGATGGTGGCGGGAGCAGCGCGGACTTGGAAGGAGGCGGAGGGGCAGGGCGAGGACGCGGGGCTTCACTAGCCTGCTGAGGCTGAAGGTCAGGTTCCTCCCTGCGCAGTCCACTTTGAGGGATGCTGCTGCAGAACCAAGACCAAGAGGGGTAGAGGATTCAGGGAGCCTCCCCTCCTAGACTCTCAGCTTGTGACAGGGATTAGGCGGTGGGACATGCTGGGCAGGCTTGGGGGTGACATGGGCCAGACCCTCCTGCCCCCCACCCCCTGGAGAACGGCACAGCCAGAGCAGGGGCTGGGGAGAGGCCAGCGGCTCATGCACCAGTAGACTGGGCTAGTGGCTGAGTCCAGGTACAGACTCAACCCCAGGAGCTCTGGCCAGCCCCCTCCCCCCAGGCCTGGAAGCTGGGAACAGCAGGAACAGAACTGAGCATGGGTGAGAAAAAAAGAATGAAGTTTAGGACCCAAAGATGAAGTGGTGAGGGAAGACAGGAGGGTTGGGTAGGGAGGGGTCCTCTCTAGAATGCAGTCTTCTACTCATTCCTGCCCTCAGCTGGCCCCCACAGCCCAGCCCAGCCTCAGAAGAATGCATCCCCTTCACAGTGGCCCTTAGAAGAAGGGCACTGGCCTTCTCTACCAAACACAAGACTTTATAGAGCAGTGCCCCATCCATGTGATGACCTAGCTCCTGTGGAGACCTGACTCCATTTCTAACACCACCTACAGTAGGGCAGAGCAGGCAGCAATGAATCCCTGGGAATAGGATACCCAGACTCCTACTCTCTTTGCTCAATCTGCGCCAGCATAGACCTTTGTCTTTGTCCTGCCCCTGGGAAAGGAACCCTGAGTCCTTGGAAACCCTCCTGAGAAGTTCTGAAATTTCCTCCAAAGGGTATACCCAGAAGTAATTACCCAGTGGGCCTGAACAGGGAGTGTGCAAGATGAGGAGGGAAGTAGCCCATCAGCCCAGGATACCCCCTCACCTAGCAGAGCTTTGATATCCAAGAGATAGACTTCAGTTTCCCCCTTATGGACCCTTGGTGGGGGGAAGTCAAACGTAAAGATAACAAGACAAGGAATCTGAGCTCTATTACCATACCTGACACATTAGAAATAACTCTAAAACTTATAAAATGGGGCTGGGGTTGTGGCTCAGTGGTGGAGCGCTCGCCTAGCACGGGTGAGGCCCTGGGTTAGATCCCCAGCACCACATAAAAATAAATAAATAAAGATATTGTATCCAACTACAACTAAAAAATACATATTAAAAAATAAAATAATAAAAAAATTATAAAATGGCTTATTGAATATTTACTGTGTGGCCAGACATATACAAAGTAATTCAAATGCATTGAGTCATTTAATCCTCCCAACCCCTTGAGATAGGAACTGATATCACCCCCATTTACAGCTCCCCAAATGGCCCCCATTACCTCTACCATCAGCCACTCCCCTCTTCTCCTATAGCACTCCCTCCAGTATCTGCCAGCCCCCAAATCTCCAAAAATGACTCCAGTGCTTCACTCCAAAAAACCGAGGCTTCAGACAGGTTAAGTGTCTTCCCAAGGTGACATAGCTAGGAAATGGGGCACTGAGGTTGAAACCTAAGTGAATCTGACTTCTGAGTCCTTGTTCCCTTCAACTGTTTAGGTTTCTAGAGAGACAGAAGGGAAGAGAAATAGGACAGTACCAGCCAGGAGTCCTAGGAGTGCCTAAGTGTAAGGATGTTTTAGACTACCTTGGTCGGTCACCCACATTGCAAGACCCACCTCTGGCTGGGAGCAGGGGAGGTAATCTTGAGTGCCCCAGGAGGCAGAAAAGCCTCAGCCAGCCACCAGCAGAGAGGTATAGTCTACTCTGGGGGAGGGGTAGCAGAGTCCCTGAGGAATGGCCTCTGGGAACTGGGTGAGGTCTGCAGAGAAACTGGGGACAGCAAAAGAGGCCTCTTGCCGGCAGCTCCAAGAGCTCCAGGCCAGACTCTACCAGACATCACTAAGGAAATGGGTTCCTCCGAGTTGCCATAGCAACTCCAGGCTCTGGCTGGGGCCTGGGAAAGGCAAGAAAGGAGAGGCAGTACAGGGTACAGGAGCACCAACGATAAGCCAAGGGAGCTCCCCAGGCCCCTGTCCCAGACCCATACCTCTCCTGTGTCTACCACTAGCCACTCCAACCACTTATGAAACAGCCCCCTCCCCAGACCCCTTCTTTCTACTCCATGAAGGAGGTACCTCCTCCATACCCATACCCATCATAAAGCAGGCCCCCTCGCAGCTCCCCAAATGGCCCCCATTACCTCTACCATCAGCCACTCCCCTCTTCTGCTATAGCACTCCCTCCAGTATCTGCCAGCCCCCAAATCTCCAAAAATGGCTCCAGTGCTTCACTCCAATATCTCGACTTGTTACCACCCCCAACCTGGACAACCCTGGACCCCACCCTCGGTGTTTCCCACAAGATAATTGCCTGCCCCCTGCCGCTGTCACTCCAAACCCTCCACTCCACCCCAGCCTACTGTCTCTAGCCCCTCCTTCTCCCGGCCCTCTGCCTCCCCACAGCCCACGTCCATCCTCCTGCTTCTGCAGGCCCCTCGCCCCATCTACCCCTGACCACCTCGGGTTCTCTTCTCTCTCCTGGGTGCTCGCCTGCTCCCCTGCTCTTCCCTGCTCTCCCGGGAGCTGCTGTGCGGAAAGGTTCTGTTCCTCCCAGAAAAAGGCCCACATGGGAACAGGAATGTGCAGAGAGATGAAAAGGCAGCAGCTGCTGAGACAGCAGGCACGGAGGGGGCAGGGGGGGGGATCCTAGGGACAACTGGAGCCTGAATGGGCGAGGCAGTAGAGGGCCCCTGACAAACTGGAGCTCTCAGAGGAGACAAGGAAGGGACAGAGGAAGGGACAGACGGGTCCATGAGACCATGGAGATGGCACAGTGGGCCAGGACAGGTGGGAGCAGAAGGATGTGGGAGGTGATGGCCACGGAGGGAATGGTGTGGGAAGAGTGTAGCTGGGGCCAGCAGTGGGGGGTGGGGGGTGCACAGAGATGGATGGGGCAGGGGAGATGGGGTGGAGGCTGATGGAGCAGTAATGGGCGGTGCAAGACAGCATGGTGAGGTGGGACAATGCAGGCCCAGGTGAGGCCATTACTTACACGTGGATGGAGAGCGCCCGTCCTCTGTACAGACTGAACGCGCTGCCATACAGGTCACTGGCCACCGAAAGGCTATCCTCTGACCCCCAGCTTGCGCCCACCAGATTAGCTCGCGATGCCCGCACCAGCGGCTCCACCCCCAGGTGCCGTGGCCCGGCCCCGGTTGCCTGTGCTTGCCTTGGGCTGCCTGGGAGGCGGCGGGTGCCACCCCCGCTGCCCGCTTCCTGTTCCAGGACCGTCTGCCCGCTGCCCCACCAGCTCACTTGCTCCTCTGAGGTGCCTGTCACGGAGGTCGGGGGTGTATCCAAGGAGGTGCCCACCAGGGTGTCAGAGCCCCCTAGAGAAAGGAGCACAGTAAGACCTAGATGCCCCTTGCGGGAAACCCTCCTGCCTGCTCTCAGAGCACCCAGAGAGCTCACCCGTGGGGGTGCTGAAGGCCCCGTCATCCCGAAGCTCCAGGCGCTGGGTCCCCTGCACATCGCTGATGTCATCCTCAGCCGTCTCTGAGTCTGGAGAAGAAGGGGTCTGTGTGGGCAGGGCCCTCCTCCTTCTCCTCCAACTCTTGCCTAAGTCGCCTCCTGCCTCCCCCACAGCGGGCTCCATCTTACCACAGGTAGGGCTTTCAGGACCCAGTCTTCTCTCCTCTCTTGCTTCTGCCACCTCCCTGCCCAGATTCCCACTTCAGTGCCCTGGCTCCATCTCCGACCCCCTGGCTACTCACCCTTGCCTCCATGGGGCCCTCAAAACTGCCATCCTCCCTCCTGCCCAGTTAATGGCTTACCAGGGACTCATGCCCTCCCCCTCCGCTCCCTGTTGGTAACAGCTTAACTCCCTGTGTGGTGCCCAAAATAACAAGGTCCTAGGTTCCAAGGCTCTAAAGTCTGGGTTCCAGTTCCCCAGAAACAAAGGGGAGTCACCTCAGAGTCGAACTGTCAGGGCACTCGACCAACTGCAGGGCCAGCCTGTCCTGCACCCTAAACCAGCTGGAAGGCATCAGGGTACACAGCTGAGGCAGGGTGAGGAGAGGCCAGGGCTGGGCAGGATAGAGGGGGAAGTGGGGGTAGGGCAGAAGCCAGCTTCCTACCGTAACTTTGCTTTCTGCAGGAGCGGAAAACTTCGCTTCCATAGGAGCAGCAGGAGAGAGATGTGGACAGACAGTTATCAGAGTGTTTGTGGGATGGGGCATGGAGGACAGAAGGGGCACAAGGGTCCCCAGTGCCTGGTGGGGATAGATGGGGGAGGAGGACACCAGATGTGCCCAGCATAGGGAGCCATCCCCATGTGCTGGGCTGTTTGTTCCAACTGGCCCAGTGGTTCTGGGACCCTGAACCCTTCCTGGTGCTCCTACTGGCCATACTCACACCTGTTTGTGCCCAGTTCAGCCACAGACCTGGGCCTTCAAATATTAAGGGTCAGTCCCACCCTCTACCACAAAATTTGTACTATGCTTTGACCCTTCCTTACAAAAGAAACCACATCTGTCTGCATGGGGCTGGGACAGGCACTCTCCTCAAGAATCCTCTCTTCTACTGGTGAGTGGTTCTTTAAAAATGCCCAGAGTTTGAGTTAGAAACAAAGATTCCTGGGCATATTTTTTTAACTTTCCCAGAGTCTATCAGGTTCTGTGCCTCAGTTTTCCCCTGGGTGCCATGACAAGCAGGAGCCATGTGCTGGTTGCCATAGCATGGAAATATGCTCCTCCTCACTTGGTCTCACAGATGAAGAATGGGGAGCCCAGGCCCATGGTAGGGTGTGCTGATAAGCCCCCTTCCCATTGCTAGGTCCTCTCTCAGCTTCAGGGCCCAGGGGCCCTTCTTGGGTGGGTGGGTAGATGAATTGGGGGGGGGGGTGTCCCACATCTTATGGGCTATCTTCGGGGCCTTGATGCCTCATGAAGGGACATGGATCAAGAGGAGGAGTGGGCATGGGCTAGAGCAGTCCACGCACCATGGGTAAGTCGGCCAAAGGCCCGGCGGGAATGGCCGGTTTTCTGAAAGAGAAAAGCCAGAATGAGTTGTTGAGGGGGAAGCTTGCTCCTGAGTCCCTATACCTCCCAGTCCCAATCTGCTATATCAGGCAAAAATGCATACTAGGGGCCAGTGGGGGGGGGGCATAGCTTGCCGGGTAGAGAGTGTATCCACTCTGCCTTCCTCCAGGCCACCCAGCTTGGCTCAGGAGCAGGGGAGGAAGGTGAGGGAACAGAAAGGCTGGAGGTCCAACACTGGGACTCCCTGCTGGACAGAGGCTTATAGCCTGGGACCAGATAGAGGAGAGGAGATGTGGTAGCCAGGATGGCTGATAAGAAAATGGAGGGGGTGCGCTTGAATGATGAGAGATGGAGGGCCAAGGACACAGATTCCTGTTGGGGGGAAGGACAGATACCTGGGATAGTTGTCAAGAGGACGGGGAAGGGGTGATGGGGGGGAGCAAAGAGTAAGGATCCCCGAGGGGCCAGAGCCCCAGGAATGCAGGAAGGATGCCCGGGTAACCGAAGGACAGGGCAGGGCTTGGGGGAATTTAGAGCTCAGCGAAGATCCCTTTGCGTTTCTTTCAGGAGCTTCAGAAGATGGAAGGCTCCAGAGTGGGGAGCTGGGGAAAGCCGGGCGGGGGTCGGGGACTGGGGTTGGACAGAGGCCCCAGAGATGGCGAAGCAAACGGGTGCCCCGCGCCGAAGCTGCAGCGGTGGCCTCCCGGGTGGTCGCGGGGACTGGGGACTATAAGGGATTCTGCCCTTCAGCGCGGGGAGGGGCCTGAGCGCTCAGGACGCGGGCCGGGGCGCCCCCCGCCCATACACCGGGCCGCCGCCGTCCGTCCGCGAGGCTGGGGTGGGGCCGGTGCCGCTCCAACGCCCCCTCCCCCGGGCCTAGCCGCGGTAACCCGCCCTCCCTACGGGGCGCCCAGCCCTTCCTGCCCCCTCCCGGCGCTGCCCGCCCCCGGAGCCCTCACCTGGAAACGCTTCTTCACCCACAGCTTCTTCATGGCGGGGGAGGGGGCCGGGCCGGCGGCCGGGCGAGGAGGGGACGGCGGGGGCGGGGCGGAGTCGGAGGCGGGGCCGGGGGCGAGCTGGGGAGCGGGCGGGAGTCCGCGCGGGTGGCGGAAGGAGCCGCCGGGCCTCGGGAGCCCCGGCGGGGGTAAAGCGAAGGCGGCGGCGGCGCCCAGAGCCCGCCCTCTCCTGCAAGCCTGCACCCCACCTGGCGCCCCTACCCTTTCCTGCCCCTCTGCGTCCCCTGGGGCGGCCCTCACCTGCCTTCCCGCACGCCCACAGGACAGCTCCTGCTGCTGACAGCCCCCACTCCACCCGCATCTGCCTCCCGGGCCCTGGGCACATGGGGAAACTGAGGCACAGAAAGGGCGGGGTGCAGCGGCCCCTTGCTCAGGCCACTCTCATTGGCAGCCCAAAGCCGCCTCCAGGGCGTCTCCTCCCTCCTCCGGCCCGGCGGCCCTGGAAGGTCAATAGCATCTCCACTCTCACTCCGCAAACATGCGCACACGCAGACGGTGCCAGGCAGTACCCAAATCACTGCAGGACAGAGCCCCGGGTGGGGGCGCCTAGGTCATACTCAAGGGTTCTTGGGGATGGGGACTCCCTGCTGACGCGGACCCAGGCTATAAAATGCCCAGGATCCTCAAGACAGCCTAAGACGGCTTTCCTCCCTTTGCCTTGAATTTCTTGATGCCCTACACCCACCCACCCCCCCCCCCCCCCCACCGCCCCCCCCCACACACACACACACTAAGGTGCCCAGAGGTACTACTCTTATTCGCAGAGTGAGCACGCTCACGAGATGTTTGTTTGGGTCAGGCTGGGGATTGAACTCAGAGCTTCCATGCTAGGCAACCCCTCTACCACTGACCTAAATCCCCAGCCCTCACCAGATTTTTTTTTGTTCCCCCCACTGCCCTCCCCACCCACCCTATCCTCACCCCCATCATCCTACTCAGCACCATGAACTCTTTGCATAAACCAAGTTCTATTCCGTCCTTCTCAATAATCATGGTAACTAGATTTCTTTAATATTTACCAAGTACCTGACATTTTATAAATGCAACACTTACAGCAACCCCATGAGCTTGAAGCCTTTATGACAAGCCACTAAGGCTCAGAGAGTTCCTGTGGCTTAGCCAGAGCCACACAGCTTCTGAGTCTGCAAGTCTTCAGATTGAAATTCTCATCCCACCATGTTAAATGGTGCCAATTCTGGTTTCTTAGGATTTAGTGACTACAGTACTATGTAATTGTTAACAAATATTGCATTCTTGGTCTGTACTAGACATTGTGCTAAGCACTTTGTATGAAAAAAACTCATCTAGTCTTCACAACAGGGAATGAGATTGAGGCATGGAGACATTTGCCCAAGCTCACACAGCCAGGATAGAGGGAGCCAGGATTCTATGACTGGATGATTGACCATTGTGCCATAAAGCATCACAAGCTGATTGGTCAGTGTGTCTTCTAAACTTATTGCTTTAAAGCCTGGTACTAAAATAAATTCAGACTAATGAGTTTTGTTCAACCTGCACAATATTTGGGGTGGCACAAGCATCTCAAAGTCAGCGGCTGACAATAGCACCGCCCACATTTCAGTTTCTGTTTGGCCCCTGAAGTTATTTGAGTTTGCACCCTATTTTTTTTTTAAGTTTAAGGTCACACCTATACCTTCCAGATACATACAGGTGTTCTTGTGTCCCAGACTGTCAGTGGCAAGTGTGTCAAGTACAGATCCATACACAGGGATGTGCATTGAGAGAGCATGTGTGTCTGTCCATACTGTTTCCAGCCAAAGGACCCTGGACACCCCCAGATGTCCCACTCACAGATGGGGTAGCTGAGATGGGAGAGGGGGTAACTTGAGCCTCTGCTCCCCAGGAGAATCCGAGGGGCTGGCACATTCCATAGCAAAAATAACCAATGGGCAGCGGGCGTGAGTGACGGGACAGCTGGGCCTAGGAGGGGCGGGGAGATTCTGTGCTCCTGCCCTGGACCTGTGTTGCTGAAGTGCTGGTCTGGGACATGCTCTCAGAGTGGGCCTCTGCCGTTTGCCCCAGATTGCCCCATTTTCCTTTGCTCCTGGGCTGGCAGCTGTGCTCTCCTGCTACTTCCCCAAACTCAGGTCTCCCATTTCCATGTTGCCAGCATTTCCCCTTAGCTAGAGAAAATCCAAGTCCTTGTGCCATACCTGATCTCTCAAGAAGACACTCCTCTGAACTGCAGGCACCCACTCTCCTCCCCTTTGCCTCTCTTTTCTGCCTCCATTCAGTTTCTCCCTCTTTCCCCTCCCTCACTAACTGCCCTGCTCTGTATTTCTGACACACTGTATAATTTACTTATTTACTACATTTGTTGTATATTGTCTGTCTCTCTTCTCTAGAAAGTAACCTCTAGGAGGACATGAATGTTAGTTTTTTCCTCTTCACTCATGTATTCCAAGTAGTAATTGGCATATAAGAGGCACTCAATAAATATGGGAATAAATGGTGGTAGAGAGGTGGGGTGGGATAAGGAGTGCTAGGGAGGGGGATAATGGATCTTCTAGAATAGCTTTTTTCATCCAGTTGTCCCCACTTTTCTGTCTTGACCCAGATCCTTTTCTAAGAAACAGTTGGAGAAGTGACCACCCTCCTGATTCTACCCAGAGCTTCTTGGAAGGATCTGCTCTGATCAGCACAGTGTCTCCTGCAAGGGCTTTGACTCACTTCTCCTCTCTGCTCTTCTCTTGCTTCCCTCCCATGCCATCCTTCTGCTCACACTCTGGCCCCTCCTCCTCTCTCTGATTGGCATTTGGCATGAATGGATAGCAACACTCCATACCCATTCCCAGCTCCATACTAGTTTCCTCCTGGGTTTTCATCTATTCACTTCAAATTCCAGAAAATAAAAGAAGATGAAATTGCAGAATATTTCTTAACATGGGTTCTGGTGCACTCCCTATCTTTCCTTTGCTTAAACTGACTCTCTCTTCCTATCTCTAACTTTGCCCTTCATACCTTCCGTCCCCAGAATGGTTCATTACCATCTGTTGACCTTATGATTGACACCAAAGTCCCTCAGACCCTGTGCAAAACTCCAGCTAACACATGGGCAAGCATCCTTCACTTGCCCCTCCTCTCAACCATGCCCTCTCCCTCTTACCCCCTTACAAAGAGGCTTCCCATGCAGCCACACATTCCCCAATCTTTGAGGGTAGCACTTGTTCCCATCACTTAATCTACATATGGCTCCTCAGCTTGTACAGGTGGAAACCTGGTGTTTTGAAAGAAAAGAATGCCTGCCTCGGCTGGAGACTAGATCAGAAGGTAGATTGCCATGTTGACAGCAGAAAGATGGTCATGATAATGAATCTTGTTGAAGCCTTCCCACCCATCTCTTTCTGTGAACCGGCAGTGTGGACCCAGACCTACAGACTCAAACCCAAACCTACCCCCTTACCAGCCATGTGACATGACCTTTGGTAAATTTTCTCCTAGAACCCTAGTTAACTGTCATAATAGTAATCTGGGGTTTGGAAGATTAAATAATTAAATGGGATAGAGTGCCTTACACAGTTAAGGACTTTATAAACATCCTGCATTTCTACTATCTTCACCTCCCATTTTTTCCTCATTTCTATATCCCCAAATCCTATCACTACCATCCCAGTTTCTCACACCCTCCAAACTCCCCAGCCTGCAGCCCACTCATCACCTCAAGGACCCAACCTCCCAGGGCCTGGCCAATACCCATCCATCCTGAGCCTTGCCAGGACTCTTAGCATCACCCTGTCTCGCTGGGCCAAAGAACAATCTCAGCCAGGAAACTGCCTCCTTCTCTTTGCAGCCAGGTCCTTGCTTGGCTTCCTCGAGTACCCTGAATCCTGCTGTTGATTCCAACCAAGAAAGTTTTCCATGAGTAAGTCTCAGCAGAGCTGAGCTACTTGTGCAGCTGCCTCTGTTCAAGAGCTGTCACTGGGAAGGGACTGGTGGAAGGGTGGGCAATAGAAGGAAATGGAAGCCAGACTCATTCAGTGAATCTCCCAACATCACCAAAGCCAAGCCTCTCTCCCCCAAATCATGGGGGGAAGGGTATAATTGTTAATCATCTGGTTCTTTCCATTGGGAAAGAATGAGGCTTCCGTTTGTTGTGCTGTCTTCTGTCTGTACAATCTGGACATGCTCTCATATGTGACATGCTGCAGCCTCTTCTGATTCTAACATGAATGTCAAAGGCCCCAAATCCAGCCCCACAGCACCGGGGGCCTTTTCCTCACCCACAACTTTCAAACCTGCGATTCATCAGAGCAGCCCAGACTGGAGACTGTCCCCAGCCTCTGTCTAGTTAAACCCAGCCAGAGCTGAACTCTGCCCACCATGCCACCCTGATAATAAAGCACTTGGAGGGACCAGGCAGACTAGGAGGCTCCCATCTTAAGAAATGCCAGGCCTGTACCGTATCAGACACTCCCCAAATACTGCATGGATCACTCAGTCTTTCTCTCCCTCTCTCTCACTTTTCAGAACTTCTTAGTAAAGAGCCCCCAGAGCCAAAACTAAGAGCCTGGGATGGGATGGCCATACCTAGCTGCATGTTTTAGGTAGATCTCCCTCCCCTCTGGTCCACAGTGTCCTCACCTGTAAAAGGAAGCGTTTGGAGCAGCAGTTCTCTGTGGACCTGTCCAACATTAAACAAACATTATGACCACTGCTCTTTCTCTGTCCTTCCTTCATCTTACCTAATATCTCTCCCTTCCTACACCTGTTCTCATTAAGGTACATACCTTACCCTTTGATTTACGTTGTTTCAGCACCCTTTACTCCTCAGGGGACCAGAGCTAAGTAAGTCCAGTCCTTCCCCAGCTCAGAATGCACTCCACTCCATCACCCCAGGCTGGAGAAGCCTGTACCTGATGAGTGGCTATGCCAATCAGGAGAAGTTAGCCTTAGCCTTCTCTTACTCAGGTCTGGCCACAGAGACCATGAGGAACCAGTAGTTGGAGACCCTGGGAAGTGATCAGGGTAAGGCTGGGAGAGGAGATGCTGAGAGCTCTGTTTCCTAGTCTCCTTTTTCCTCTAGCTGCTGAGGTCTTCCCTTCATCCTGGGGTCTCCTCCCCAGGTTCCTAGGATTGGCCCCTACAGGAGACCACCCAACTGGATTGAGATGTCCTCTTACAAATTCCTGGAACAGTGACACCTCCTTCCAGTTGTTTGCCATCTCCCCAAAATTCTACTTCCTCAAAATTCTGTTTTCTATCCAAGGCTCTGTCTTTGACCAAGAGAAGAACCATTCAGCTAACTCAGGAAATGAGAAAATAAAAACGGAAGCCCAAATAGTGACCCAAGGAGAATGCCCACCAGGCCCATCAGAACCACCAGCAATGTCCTTCCCTTCTGCCTCAGACCACCAGCCTGGAACTGTACCTCTACAAGGGTCTGCCCAGAACATCCCCATTCCATGCCTCCCCAAATTCACTCTGGAACCTTAGTGGACGTGGACCACAGGTTTTCCACACCACCTCTCGCCGCCCCTTTCCCACATCTGTTTGTATCACCACACAGATCCAGCGCTCCACAGCCTGCACAAGTATTACACACATGCATGCATGTGATTGTCAATCCACCCTGGCTCCACCTCCTGATGTCCCAGACCCTTCTGCCCTGCCTGGTGCTGATCACACCAGCCCTGCCACAGCAGTGGCCCACCCCCTCCACAGTGCAGCCTGGACCGGGGGAACTGGCCCCTCCTTCAGACAGGCACACACCTGCAAAGGATTCATGGCCTGGTTCTCAAGTCTGTTCCTGGAGCTAAAGAAGAGGATTTCTCCAGGGAGGCTTCTTTCTCTACAGGAGAGCTAGGAGGGCTTCCACTACAGAATTTCCCAAAAGGCCAGTGTGGTCTCAAGCTGGGCTCACCAACTGCTGACCCTTGACCTCTGACCTTTCGGTGGGGGAGCCTCTGCACCTTGACACCCTTTCCCTGCATTTCCCTCTGGATCTGCACTTGGGGCCTGCACAGCTGAGAAGCCTGGGCACCTGGGAAGAAGGCGGAGGAGCCGCTACCTGGCCCACGTGGCCGGGGCAACCCTTCTCTACTCCAGCTCCCCCCAGCCCGCCAGAGATGGCCCCACCTCCCCATTACCTCCGACCTCCAGCACAGTGAGCACAGCCTCGCAGGAGGCCTGGCCCCGCTCGTTCTGGGCCCTACAGCTGTACACGCCGGCGTCCTGCACCCCGCAGCTCCGCAGCCACAGGCAGCTGGGCTCGGGGACCGGCGCGGGCAGGAGCTGCCCATCCCGGAACCAGCTGAGGCTGGGCTGGGGCGTCCCGCTCACCACCACCCGCAGCCGCACGTCGCCGCCCGCACACACCGCCGCGTTCTTCAGGGGTCGCAGGAAGACGGGAGCCCCGGCCCCGGCCGCCGGGGCCCCTCCGCCGGCCCCCACTTTGGCCCTCTTCGGGGGCACCCCTGGGCTGGGGGGTGCCCTCGTGCCCACGTCCTCGCCTCGCGTGCCCCGGGCTTTCTGCATGGCCTCTGCGAGCTGGGCTTGGGGGACGCTGGATCTAGGCGGCCACGGGACACCCGGGAGGATGGTGACTTGGGAGTCCTGGGGGGCCGGCGGCCTGCCTTCCTGCTGCCCGCCCGCCTTCGGCCTGTGCTACCCAGAAGGTCACCAGGGCGGCCGCGGTTGCGCCTCGGGGGCTATTTTTAGGCCCCCCGGCTCGGGTTGCGTTGCAAGGGAACTCTGGAGGGAGGGGGCAGCAAAGGAGGGGACTTGGACTCCACCGGCTCCTTCTCTCCCTCCAGGAGCCCCCATAGCCAGTCTTCCAGCCCTGGCTCAAATGAATCCCTGGGGATTGGTTCCAGGCCCCCTCTTTCATGGGGTGCCTGTCCCCCAACCAGCTCAGCCCCACGCAGGGGAATCAAGTTACCCCTGGGCTCAGTCCCATTTCCCTTCCTCCCTCCTCTCAGGTCCCAAGCCCCAGCCTCACACAGCTGGTGGCTGGAGGAAAGGAAGATGGTCTTCGTGAGCTGGGAGAGAAGGCTGGAGAGGCCACCTCCACCTCTCAAGTGGAGGGAGCAGACTGCCCAGCACCAGTGGCCACCCAGCACCTCCATTACATCTGGCCAACAGTAAGACCAGGAGCCTGGCAGTTGGGTGGATTGGGTCTCTCAGCCGTCCTGCCCTCTCCCACTGGATGACACCAAACCTCTCTCAACCTCCAAGTCCTCATCTGTACTAATAGTAGTTAGTTGGATAGGGTTGCAACAGGCAGAAAAGAGTGGGAAGGACATTGCAGGCAGAGGGACAGCATGAGCAAAATGAGCACGATGAAAGAAGAGAATGAGTTCTGAATCAGAAAGGTTTGGAGGGATTGCCCATGGTGGGTTGGCAGTGAAAGTAAGGGATCTGGGGCTTGCCAGACAAGGCTTTGGTTGCTAAGGTCTCTATCTGAGAGCAGGGGTGCAACCATAGGGTTCTACCACAGGGAGTGAGGTGGTCAGACTTGTGTTTTAGGAGAATGCCTTTGGCAGCCACAGTGTGGAGGGTGGATCAGGGAGGGTGGCTAACCAGAGCAATGATCCTCCAAGGATGGTGCCTACTGAAAGGCTGCATCCCAAGAGACCTGGTTCAGTGGAGAGGCTGGGAGGGCCCAGGAATCTGCCCATCTAACACAAGGCCCAGCTGACTTTGATGTGTCTAAGGGTTGTACTCTGAGAAACATCAAGATAAGACTTTTTAAAATTCCATAGGAGCCTGACAAAATCCTGTAATCCCAGTGACTTGGGAGACTGATGCAGGAGAATTAAAGTTCCAGTCTAGTCTCAGCAACTTAGCAAGCCCTGTATCAAAAAAAAAATAAATAAATAATAATAATAATAATAATAATAAAGTAGAGCGCCTCTAGTTTCAATCTGTGACACCCCAAAATAAATAAATAAATAGAAAGTTCTGAGGAGGTTTGGGGGTATAACTCAGTAGCAGAGTGCTCACGTAGCATTCACAGGCCCTGGATTCAACCCCCAGCACTGCAGAGAAATACATAAAATAAAAATCCAAAGGAGATTTTTGTGCTAGACCCGTTCTGTAACTTGACTGTGGTGACAGTCACATGAATCTACAGATGTGATAAAATTGCATTGAACTAAATATTCATGTGCACATGTATACATACATACACATACCCTAAGAGTGTATGTAAAACTGGTAAACCTGAAGAAGGTGGATGGACTATACCAACGTTACCTTCCTGCTAAGCAAAACTGGTAAAGGGTACACAGGATCTCACTATATTATTTTTGACAATCACATGTGAATCAATAATTTCTCAAAATCAAAGGTTAAAAAAATAGTCAATGAGAGACCCAGGCCTGACCTTAAGGCCTGTGGGTTGAAGTCAGAGAGGGACTGAAAGAATCCACAAGTCATTTGGAGGATGGGAGAGGCACTCTAGCCCTTACCTTTTCATCCCCTCCTTCATGCTAGGATGCTGAAGTCAAAACCACACAGCACAGTACAGCAGAAACAATTTAAATACTGAATTATATCCATAGAGATTAAGAGCCTTGAGGAATATTCTTTTCTTGTAGTTTGCATATATTAAAGATTACTCTTTGTGTTGGGTTTTGACAAATGCATGCAGTCATACTTGCACCACCCCAGGACCATACAGAGCAGTTCCCCCACCCTAAATATTGCTTGTGAATCCTCTTTGTAGTCAACCACACCCCCTCCACCATCCCCAGGCAACCACTGATGATGAATTGAATTTTACAATGTAAATTGAATTCTAAAAAGGTAAAAATGTGGGAGAAAACATTGCAAACAGAATATCGAGAACAAAGGAATAGAGACTGTTTTAAAAAACTAATTAAACCTGAAGTTCCTAACCCCATGCCTCAAACAATCGTGTGGAATGCTGTGGGTAACCTGTGAATCTTGTCTGGTTGGTCAGTTAGTTGAATAAGGAGACCAGATGATCTTGAGCATCTCTAAGCCTCAAGTTTCCTCATATGCAAAATGAGAGTGGCACAACTCAGAATTTGTTTATTTATTCAACAAATATTTTTGAGTTCCTACTGTGTGCATGGCACTCTTCCAGGAGCTGTGACTATAGCAGTGAACAAATCAGATAAGGATTCCTTTCCCCCAGGTTGCTTATAGTCCAGAAAAGACATTCAACAGACATAAAGAAATTGTGAAGATCCTGAGAAGGAGATAAGTATTTTGGGAGTTAAGTACTTTGAGTGGGGGTGGGAATATGAGGTGGGCTTGTTCTTTCAAATAAGGTGGGTGGAGTTGGAACATTGGAGCTAATCTTGAAGGGGGAAGCAAGCAAATGATGCAGACATGGGGAAAGATGGCTTCAGGCTAGGTGAGGATAAGATATCTAGGCTCTCAGAAGAGCCAGCAGGTCAGCAAGGCTAGAGAGAGTGAGGGCAAAGTGGAGGAAACTGGATCAGACACCTGGCAGGCACCAGATGGCCTAGCATCTTGCAGGCCATGGCATTTTTATTCTTAGAGAAATGAGAAGTCATCTCAGTGTTTTGAGCAGAGAATTACATGATCCTACATGGTTGTGATGGTATTCAAATATTATATTAAATATTAAAATGAATATTAACTATTTAAAAGGGCCTGGTACAGAGCCCGGAACATGACTTGTCTCCTGCCTGCCTGCCTGTGTCCATAGCTGGGGCATGAATTGGCTTGCATCCAAGGATCCGCGGGCCTGTGTGGGGAGGGCACAGGCCCTGGTGTGCAACTGGTGCCCTCTTCTGGAGGAGCCCACAAAAACTGAGACAGCTGGAAGCAGTCAGGTTCTGGCCAGGCCAGGCACCCAGAGCAGCTGGCTTCAAGGCACTTGTCTGTCCCTCAGCATGGGCCCCACAGTACCCTGCTGCCTGGCGCCAGGCTGGGTGTGTGTGCTGCCAATAAGCCCTGGCTTTCCATCTCAAGTCTATGGTGTCATGGAAAGATATCTAGGCTCCAGAGGTCAAGGAGCCCAGGGCCTGGTCCTTCTTTGCTACACTCTGCTGTGTGACCTTGGCAGGTCACCCCACCTCTCTGGGCTATGAGGCACTAACTTTCCATTGTAATTGTGTACCAAGTGACTAACATGGGAAAATCTCAATATGTGTTCATTGAATCAATGAATGAAGTGGGACCATCAGTCCTTCTCGGTGAATATTTAACTTAAAAGAAATGTAAAAAAAGTGGTATGTATTTATTCAAGAAGTATGTAAACATTCAATGAATACCTACTATGTACTAAGCACTGTTCTAGGTACTCTGTATAGAATAGTGACTAGATGGATTAAAACCCTACCCTTGGGTTACTGACAATTTAGGTGTTGAATCAGAGGTCACAAATACCTTCCACTTGTACCCTGGGTGAGCTTTTAGTGAGTCAGAGGGGGGATGAATAGAGCCTCAAGGGACAGGGCTGGGAGGACAGCCAGAGTGGACAGAGGGAAAGTGTCTACGGGGCCCTTGGTTTCTGGAACAGGAATCTATCCATTTCCACCGTCCTCCTTCCCTCCCCTCAGATGGGATAGGAGCTGGCCTGGGTCTGGTTCTTTGGATTCAGTGGGAAGTTAACTGGTCAGTCTTCTGTAAGCCCTTCTCTTTCCACATTCAGAGTCTTGAGATGACCCCAGAGCACCCCAGAGTGCAGGGAAAGGGTTTGCCATGGAGGTGATGGGGTGTGTGTGGAAGGGGCAGGGGACACCGAGTGTCTGGTTGTATGCATACAGCCACGTGAGAACTAAGCCTTCTTTGGTTTCTTTTGCCCAGTCCCTGGGTCCCAGGGGGACAGGCCTGGAAGATTCTACACAGAGAATGCTTCCCCTGGGAGTCCGAGGGTGTCTCTGGCTTCCTCCAGGACAGGTGGGTAGCAGTTATAGAAGACAGGTGTAAAGAGAAGGAAGGGCAAATGGGGAGTTTTCTGACACTGTGGCCAGGCAGGCAGAGGACCAGCTCACTGCCCATCAAGGAGGCAGCGGCGAGGCTTGGGAAGCAGATTTCTGTACTGGGAGTGTTATCCAGGGGATTTCTAAGATCTGACCCTGAGAGTCTAAGATTCTACCCTCCCTCCACCCTAGTGACTAGTCTGTACCCAATTGTTTTTTGGGGCATGGGGGCTGCCTCCAAAACCTTCCCTGATGTGTCCTTTTATCGTTTGTGGGACAGTTGGGTGCACACAACTCATTCAGAAAAAGAAGGAGCAAAGCTTTAGAAATGTCTCCAAATATCTCCCCTCCTTATCCACCAGGGCCCAGTCCCATCCAAGAATATCCCTCACAGAGAGGCCGGCTGAGATTCCAGGGCCCCACAGTTTCAAGGATAAGAAGCCCCTTGCCCATCCCTCTTCTTCTGCCCAATGTGAAGACACTAGAAATGACATTTCTGGCTCTGTGTTTCCTGAGAGCTGTGGAGTTTTTCTGTAGGCTAGTTGGAGAATTTCTGAGGCCTACAGGGCTCACCCCATTTGAGCCCAGGGGGCAAAGGAATGACCACGTCCCCTGTGGCAGAGGTGGGGACCTGGAGTAGAGCTCCTCCTGTCAAAGGGGCCTTCTTAGAAGGAGGGAGGGAGCAACTTGTGAACGAGGGCTGCCTCAAAGCAGGGGAGAAAAGCAGGGTTTCCAGAAAA